GTGGGAGCTTGTGGAGCTCGAGCATGGGCACTTGTACTCTCAGATCGGCTGGGGCATTCAGCCTTCCAATGCCCCACTTTTCCACACAGGCGACATCGTGACTCCAGGATCCTCTGTTGAAGTGACTTCCGAGAGGACGGGTGTCCTTTCTGAAACTTGCCTTTTGGGCCCTTGGTGAACCCCTTGCCTTTTCCCTTGTTGGAGATGGGCCAGAAACCTCTGGATCTGACTTTGTCGTTGAGGCGTCTTCGAGCGTCCTGGTAAGAAGTAAAGGCGGCTGCCAATTCTTCATCTGTCTGCAAGACTTCTGTGGCGGCTGCCTCAAAATCTGCCACCAGAGTCGCATCTTCGTCTCCCTCCTGCACTAACGTTTCAACCATTTGATCTTCATCTTCAATACCTTCCATGGCCATGGTGGGCTGGTCGGATTCAGCACCATCCATGTCCTCGGCGGCCAGAGCTGATTGATCATACGTCTTCAGTTTGGAGACTTTGCGACCTGCTGTCATCTCCTGGAAGAAACCTGCACCCAACATGCGAATCGAGGAGCTGACTCGGGACACGGTCAACTCACCCTTGTCAGCCACATCAGCATCAATGAGGACACGTTTCTTATCCTCTGCCGAAAGCATGCTACCCCTAAGTGTCACATAGGCTTGTAGATCGCTCACATTGAACTTGGTGTTGTTCAGCTCTGTCCACATGATGTCAGCACGCGCCAAGTAGCTGTCAGCGCTTTCATCCCCTTTCTGTGCACACTTGTACAGGGCTCTTTCTGCAAACTCATAACGGCGTTCCAAAGGGATTTGTCCCCAGTGTCCTCCGAGCAGTTCTATGATCCTCTGAATGGACTTGCGATCGTTCTGAGTGATCTCTGATTGATGCAGTTGCAATTTCTTGAATGCGGACCCACTACAGTTCAGTATAAGCCGGGTGGCTAGCTCAGTGTACTTTGTAGATGGCCATGCTTCTAGCAACAGTTCAACCTTCTGAGTATACACCTGAAGATCATCCTTGCTGGGATCAAATGACGGTACCAAAACTGCCAATTGATTCGGGACTGTGTTGGAGCCTTCTGATGACTCTGTCATACGCTGCGGTGGTGCAGCTGGTTCGCGCTGCGTTGGAGCAGCTTGTTCTTCACTTTGACTCTGACCTGGATCTTCCGTTGCGGAACGGTAGCTCCGCTACCAGTGTGATTGACAATTAGTCAGATCACCTGGTAGCACCTCCAAAGCAAAAACCCCTGCTGCGGCCAAACTGTTTTGTCAGACCTCGCAAAAAGGATCACAGCGGCAAAAGCCTTAGGATTAAGGCACCAAGAATCGCTTGGCCAACTAGGCCTTCCAGTTCTGAATGAGCCCCAGGCTCTAAGTTCCAAAATGGCGACCACGCCAATAAACCAGTAAGCAAAAATGGCAAGCACGATTCCCTATCCCTATGCCCTCTCCTAAGGCTGACCCTGAGCCAATGTGCTCCAAGTGGTAAGACATTTGTTGTTGATTATTCCTGGCATCGTGAGCTGGAAGGAAATGGCACTGTGGGGGGTTGCAATGATGTAGATTCACAATATATATATATATATAGTTATAGTTATATATATATAATTCACATACAGTAATTCAGGATGAATTTCGTTGTGCTTCAAAATCACTTCCACAGCTGCAACATGCTGCAACTATCTGCAGAAAGATCTCGCACCTTCACACGCTTCACCACCTTCTTCCGCTTCTTCTTCGGCTCTGGCACAACTTCCGCCTCAGCACACCAGGAAACAAACAATTGGAGGTAACAGTTCAACATATCTGCAGCTGATGTTTTAACATTTAGTAATGTGTATCAAGGTGTGTCATTTGATGTTGCCATGGTTCGCCCTCGCGTCAGTGAAAAGCCACCCGGTAAGTGAACCCTGCAGCTGTTAGAGGTTCATCCCTCCCAAGTCCCGCACCGGCTTTGCAGCAGAAGCTTCCACTGCCTGAGAGTTTCCATAATCACGAGCAATGCTGTCAGATCCTAGGTTTGTAATTCGACAAACTGCAGCTCACTTGTACATGTTCATACATGTTCATACACTTTCTACATTCCCTGTGGAAGGAATACTGCGGCCACACTAATCTGAAATGATCAGGGCCCAAGCCACTTTTGCAGCTGCAGGAGGCGCTTTGGCAGCCTGCACTGAATGTGCATGAAAACTGCCAAAGAGTTCTGATTCTGATGTTCCTCAAAAAAATCAAGGAATAAATCAATGGATAAATTCTCTAATACCTGCGTTCTCTGTTGATGTTTAGTGCCTGAGGTGGTACGCTTACAGCTGCAACAGCCTCACCAAGTGCTGGCGAAGACTCGATCTCATGGGATTTCAAAGCGTCACAGGCGTCCAACCAGAAAAATGGGGACCAAGCCGCTTTCGCAGCAGGAGGCGCTTTGGCAGCAGCCTTCACAACCTGAAGACGTCGAATAGTCGAATCCACAAATTTCAGGACTGCCTACCGTGAAGGATTTACCGGCTTTGAAGGTGCTTCAACGGATCAGAATGGAGATTCTCACAGATTTGGGGTGCCCCATATCTTAAACCCATCCCACTTTCCGGTCTCCTCCAACTGTCCAAAGTTAACCAATAAGTCCCTGGCAGCAGATGCTTTTGGCACCTGGAATTCAGGCAAGCAGTTTGACCTGCTAATTTCTGCCTGCCTTTCATCATCTAGGTTTGTCTGAAAATAGACTAGTTTCATGCATTTATGATCATCACCCCCCACAATTCCATGCCTATGTTCAAACAAACCCATCAGCGGGCAGGTGATCCCCTCAACCTTGGGAGTCCAGTTTGGATGCCATTGAACCCTCAGACCTCCGCAGTGCCCGCGACCAGCTTCTCGAGACTTTGTGCTTGACCCGGTTGCCTGGCACTTTGGTACTGGATACTGGATGGATTCACAACTGGAAACCCAGTGACAAGACTGTCGACGCCTTCATCCTTGCGATAAAGTGTGAAAAAACGAATTGGGCCCAGTTAAGTCCAAACCGACCTATCACATGCCCAACACCCCCATCGTCCACGGATCTTGTGCCTTTTCTTCTTCCGCTTTCGCAACGGTGCTGGCATGCCATCCTGCACAAGTGAGCTTGCTTCAGCACATCTCTGCTGGTTGCTGTGGACACAAATCTTGGAACTCATCAGTAGGATGCACGGCATTTCTTGGGCTTAACTTAGATTCATCGCTATTTTCACATCAGCATAATATCAGCTACATCCAACAAGCACAAGATCCAGCCATAAAGGGGTCAACCATTGGGCCATGTGCAGCCGCAGCCCCCCAAAATCCTTGGTTTCACCGGTTTCGGCGTCTTTGGCTTCGGCTTCGGCTTCGGCTGGCACCTTGGGAAGGCCCGAAGTTGGGTTGCTTATAGCTGTTGAACAAACAGCTTAGCCATTCCAGATCCCATAGTTTTGCTGAGTTTCAAGCAGCTTCTTCCCCTGAGTTTCAGAGATAAGTCTAGAAATGGAAGGGATCATGTTGTGGACTTCCATTCTATGCCAGTGATATTGGCAGCCTACAATCCTTGTTCTATCAATCTGAACCTACAAATGCACAAAATGGGGGGACTTGAAACTAGTAGTGGGAGAGCTTAACATAAAATAGTTCCATCTCCTTCTGGCTTCACAACAAATATGCCTCCAAATGGCGTCCAATCAATCACCCAAAAATCTCAAATCCCCAAATGGGAAAAGTCATCTAGGAATGATCATCAAATTCCTTACAGAGAAAGAAAATGGATAAACATGCATACAATATATGACCATAATGATAGCAATAATAGTAATAATAAAATAATAATAATAATGATGATGATGATAGTTGCATAATAGTAATAATTATTATTAGTAGTAACAATAAAAACAATAATAGTCAGCAATAGTAATAACAACAGTAGTAAATAGTAATAATATCGACTTGGTTGTATAAATATCATCCCCAACCCCTGCTTTCAGCGAGCTCCCGCGCCTGCCGCCTCGGCCTCCGCCATGTCCGGCGCGTCCACCGGCTCTGCTGGCGGCGCCGGGGCCGCGAAGCCTGGAACTGTTCCAAAATTACCCTCTGGTAAACATACAAAAAACTATGGAAAACCACCATTTTTAATGGGTAAATTCACTATAAATGGTGATTTTCCATAGTTATGTTAAATTATCAGAGGGTAAATGGATGACCGTGACTTAGTACTGAAAGCGTTTTGGTGACTTGGGGTACCCCAAAATTTTGGAAACCTCCATCTGGTGACGATGAAGTCTGTGACGATTCTGTCGTTATCAATGTGGTGGAAGCCACAGTAAGCTTCCACCGCTGAAACTGCTGTGAAGTAGCTGATCTTTCGCCGGATGACCTCGGTGTAGGAAAGTGCTGGAAATTTCTGGTTGGATCAGGTTCTTACTTTGTACCCGCTTTTTCGTTGGGAACCCTATTTTGTTCTTACTTTATGCCTTGTTCTATGATTGGGTTTTCACCTTCCCGCATTTTAGCTGGTTCCATCTTGAATGAGAAGTTTGTGTTCCCCAATTTCCAGAGATTTTAGGTTCCGCTGCTTCTTTCTCCAAAGTGTCTTTCCTACCACCCATCTCAGTCATGCACTCGAGCCCGACCTCTTTGCGGCCTCAGGGCAGTGGGACAAGGGTTGCCACCATGAGAAACCTGCTCAATTTTGGTCTCTGGTGATTTTTGATGATTTTGATGGATCGTCCCCTGCACCAGCTCAACGGCTAGAGTGGTTACAAATCCTCCTCTTGCGCACACGGCGGACGCACTTTTTTTCCCCAAATGGCACTAGGACAAAAAACTGTGACAGAATCCTTCCCCCCGGATCCTCCCAATCTCCGAAGTCTTGAAAAGGACAGTCGGACAGGCCTTGCCTGTGGGTCTGCTATAGGTTTCTGCCTATCCATCAGACCAAAGTTCTACGACTCACTAAAACTCACTACTTCTCGACTTTGAACACTTCAGTGCACTTCAGTTTGCCATGTCTGCCAAGTCTTCAGTCTGAGCCAAGGACGCCTGAATCTTTGCCAAGGCCTGGGCCAACCATTTGGAATCCGCCACCTCCGTCGATGCTTCGGAGGCCGATGCCTCACTGGCCTCGCAGACGGCCGTGGATCCTGGAGGTCCTGGCGCCTCGGGACCGGCGGGACCCGGCCAGCGCTGCCATTCACGGAGGCATTGGCGCACGGCACGCTGCTCTTCGGCCTGCTGCAAGATCGGCACGGGGCACTTCCGCTTCTGCCGGAGCTCCGACACCTCGAAAACAGGAAGTGGCAAGGTCGGCATCGGCATACCGAAAGATCTTTGAAAAGGAAAGGCCGCAATAGATCTCAATAGTAATTTCTACAGTAAGATCTTGTCAGTGAGAAAATGGAGATCTTTAGATGTCCAAAGTTGCTGCAACCTATCCAAGCAATGCATGTATCCAGATGCTCCAAAGCTGAAAGATGAACTGCAACTATCCTTGTCCTTTCACGCATAACCTGCCAAGCTGCGATACGTTGATCGTCGCTGCTTAGCGTCTCTGTGCCACTGCAATCAGTGGTGGTGGATGAACCGAAGCATTCGATGCAACACCATTTTTTCTGCACCTCGTGCCGTGGAACTTTTGTCAATGCGCGTCGTCCACTTGCGTAACTAAAAATGGGTTGAGAACTTTTGGGACCCGAAGGAAATTGCAAAATCCCTCAGAGGTCTGGCTGCATTGGACTTCAACAGGCTTCTGAAAGTTGTCCTTTGGAATGTCTGTTGATCTCATCATTGAAATTATCCAGGTGATCAGAACTCCCTGAGATAAATCAGATAGAAAAACCAACAACAGCCAAACTTTGGGGATGAAGTGACCACGTTTTTGGAGAATTTGCCCACTAAAGTGGCGATATGTCGAGGTATCCCACTATCCCGCCGGGCATCCATTTTGAGACAAACCCATCTCATGATATCTCCATTATATTCCATTCCCATTAAAATCCACATCAAATCCGCAGAAAAATCCCCAGATGGCCCACTGATTCCACCTTGAAGCGCAAGGCGTCCTGAAGGATGCGCTCACCACATGAACTGCAGCTCGTTCTCTCGGACTTGGCGTAGTCCACGGCCATCCCGTGGCCCCGTGGCCCCTACCGCGGTAGCGCGGTGACTGGCTTGGGCCAGCGGAAAACGATGGCGGGGCTCTCTACAATGGCCGCGTATTGGAAAATTCAGCATAGAATGCATAGAATGAAGGAGAAGTTGATTCTACACTTTCAAAACTGGCAAACACTAAGGATGACTGGTCCAGGTGAAAATGTGCCGGCACTGCTTAAGCAGAAATCACGCTCGAAACCTTCAGTAGCATCCAACTCAGTTCCCAACTTGGAATCAGCGCCTCACGCGCAAAGAAGAAAGAAACAATGGATGTTTTGTGGGATTCCAATTTATAACCACTTCCTTCCTTGGCTTCCCCAAATCGAAAAAATAAGTGCGATCCCATGGCAACACTCTGAGTTTCTGGCTGGGTTCTGCCTCCTGCACATGACTTCAGGCTATGGATACTGTGGACGCTGGCCACCAAAAAAACTGACCCATGGCTCCTCAGAACCAGAGTCCGCGCCACACAGAAGTGACCACCTGAGTTTTCAAGGCCGCTTTGGCCGGATCAGGTTGGTTTCCTTCACAGCTTGCTCGAAAATTGCTCTATTTGAGAGGACGCACATTTAGTCTCAAGTTTTGTCGAAAGAAACAACCAGTGACGAAGCATTCTGAGGCACTCGCTTCCGCTTTCGGCTGCCTTCACCTGTGCCTAGCATCAAACAACAACTGTGCCAAAAGAAACTGGCTCCTCGGCTTGATACTTCTGTCTCAATCAATAATAATATCATCATCCTCATCCTCACCACCACCATCATCATGGAAAACAGAACCAAAGCATCAACCAATCAACAACTGCACTGCTACCATCAGCAAGGTGCCAGGTTCTGCTCAGTGGGCCCCCCGGCTTTCACGGCCAAATGAAGCTGTCACATGCACCTCAGAACAATACGCACGGCTGTGCTTCAAAGAACTGGGACACAGAAGGTCTTTGGAATAAATGGATTCATGATAATCAATAATCTAGCCATACTGGCACATTGACACATATATCTTGGCCATATCCAAACTCATCCAAACTATCATGCCATCTCAGCCTTCAAACCAACACCATCCATCGGTCACTGAGCTACACACCAATGGCCTGGGCGATCCCTCAGGTGATCCTCAGCACTGTCAAATATCTCTAAATATGTTGGATTGAAAGTTCACATGGCCTTGAAACTAAAAAAACAGAGAGAGACATATTATATATATATATATATTATATGTTAATTATATATATTGTATATATATAATATAATATATGTATAATATATTATAATATATTATAATATTATATATATACTCGGTTTGACCCAGATGTGCCGACGCCAAGCACTTTGTCGAATGGGACTCCAACGCACCGGCCATTCACCCTTCCAGGCTGGCTCAGCCTCCAGGTTTTCACCCAACTACCCGAGTCATTGGACAAAATGAAGAAACAATGAGCACTGAAGAAATTATACACATTGAACATCTCAACATATCTCAACATATCTCAACCAGTCAGACCTAATCAAACCATATCAAACCTAATTGGATATCATTGCTTCATTTGAGTCAATGATGACTCAGTCACCATCCATTGAGAGGTGTCTTTCCATGGCGGAAGTTCTGGCAAGCCATGATGCGATGCCTCCACTTCGACTGCTGGAATTTCTGGTTGAGGTACTTCAACACCTTCGGTCAGAATGCATCTATATATATATATCTTGCATCCACGCAAACCATTCGGATTTGGGATGTCTTTGATGTCTTTTGTACATTTCAGTCGTCATGGCGCTGTTTTTTAGTAGAATTTGAGAAACACCAACAAATCATCAATTTAATCCCAAATTTTCAGAGAAATCATCAAGTTGGGGATTGCTGGTTCTTGGTGATTAAATTGTTGATTTCAGCTGATTGCTCCCAATCGCTCCTCAGGTCGCTACTGTCTGCCTTTGGAGCTAGCTGCGGGGTGGCCGGTTCCTCAGTTTCAAAACGGTGGAGAACCATCAGAGAAGCATCAGAGAAGCATCAGTTGTATCATCAACTACTATTATAAGCAGCTACTATGGCTACTATGTTTGTTTGGTACAACTTACAGCCATCAGTTTCAGATCAGTTTCAAGATGGTCACAAGTTCAATTCTACGCGAAGTTGGTGAGAAAGACAGGGTCAAAGTGATCAAAGTGTCTTTGAGGCCATCAGTGATCAAATGTCAGATGGGTTGTCAAGTGAATGATCCCAGCCAGAGTCAATTTCGTTGAAGAGAGGACCACGAGAGGACCAGAATCGCAGCGAATCGCAGTCTTTCTCTTCCGGCGCACTGATACCTCGTGAGACACATGTTATCAAAAAGTATGGACTGTCATCTCTAAGCGCATCTAGCCGATCTAGCCGATCTAGCCACGGTTTCCTCAGCCCAGCTTCACCGTGTTCTCATCAAGGAAGGTGTAGGGAGGCAGCTCCAAGTTCTTGGGAGCAGGTCCCTGTCGCATGCGCCCTGCATAGTCATAGTGTGATCCATGGCAAGGGCAGAAGTAGCCACCGTAGTTTCCTGCATCTGGCTGGGGAATGCAGCCCAAGTGCGTGCACACGCCAATGCAAATCAACCACTCGGGTTTCTTGCAACGTTCTGCGTCTGTGGCTGGCTCACGCATGGATGGAGCAATCACATCATCCTTCCTTGCAGAGGCAATCTGCTCGGGTGTGCGCTTTCGGATGAACACGGGCTTGGAGCGCCACTTCACCGTGAAGTTCTGCCCCACCCGGATGGGGCGCAGGTCCACCTCCACGATACCAGCAGCAAACACATCTTTCGCTGGCCACAGCGTAAGGATCAGCTTGCCGGCAATTGCTCGGATGAGAGAAGCAGCAATCACAGCACTGGCTGCTGTCATGAAGTACACGAAGGGGCGGCGATCTGCATGGCCAATGGGCAGGCGGTTGGCTCGGAAGTCCAAAGCACCCTCTGGGACAGTGCTTATTGGCATTGGGGCATTCTCAGCCAAACCAACTGGTCGGAAATTCTCAGGGGAGAACTTTGCAATTGACACAATGGCAGGCTCTTTGGGATCGTGCCAAACATCCGTTCGGGTGACAGTGGCACCAGAAGCAAGCTCACCTTTCGAGATGTCTGGCTTCCTAGGGAAAGTTGGCTCACGAATGGTGTCATAGTTGGCAAACTTCAAGTCTCCCTGTCCCACAAACTGGTGAAGATCATAGGACGTCTCCATGAGCTCCGAAGTGTCATGAACAGCAGGGTGCCTCACCGCCTTCTTCACCTCCTCTTCATATTCCTTTGGGGTTTTCATAACGAACTCATTCTTGTACATGGGCTTCTCAGAGGATGGTGCCATCTCATCATTGTCACGCATCAGGTGCGTGTTGGTAGGGTGTGCAAAGCATCGCGTCTGTAGCCGGAGAACCGCGACATGTGGCCGCACCCGGAGAACCGGGGCGGAGCGTGCCAGGAGCCGCGGCAACATCTTGGGTCACAGAGCTTCGGAGAAGAATTCCACAGTTTGAAAGCTGACAATGTGACAGAACCAACCATCCAAGCACAACAAACTAAGTAAACACAAAACTGAAATGTTGATTCTTAATGCGGTGTGGCTGTGTATTGTGTGTCCCATTGCAAAGCAAAAGTTCTCGCAGAACTACACTTTTGGAAATCTGCAGTTTTCTCCAAACAAGGCAGGAGAACCAAGCCCCGAACAGCACTGAAATCCAAAACAGCGCCTTGTGAGCATTTGCTCACAATGTCCACCACCTGCAACATCGCATTCCAACATATTCCAACTATCCAAAGCCCATCCAGCAAGGTAAGTGGCAAATAAACCATGTTGCACCCCCAGTTAGATGTGGTTTTAACACATATATGTATGTATATATATATATATATGTGTGTAATATCATGTATGTATATATATATATTATATTATAAATATATATATATACATGTGTGTAGCACCGCATAACTGGGATGCACATCCTGGATGCCTCCTGCGCATGTTGCTGCAAGGTCGCTGGCAAGGGGTTGCAAGTGCTGCCTCGCTGTCGTTGAAACTTCCAACATGCCCCGTCTCTTTCGAACGGCTTTCCGGACACGAAGTGAAGCAACAAGAAAAAAAACACCATGGGTTTAGAAATGTTGTGAAATTGTCCAGAATTGAAGGGAAACAAGGGGAACCATGGTTTCCTGAATATGTTTGTTGGCCTTAAACCAAGCCATTGATTCCATGATTTTGAGGTCTGCTGGTCTGAGCGGGTCTGGCGGAGCTTGACAGGCCTCAGCAATTCGTTTCCAATGGCTGTGAAGGACGATGCTGGAAAATGCTGAGCAAATTCCGTTTTGTTTTTTTTGTGCATCTCAACTTCCATGAAAATCCAAGAAGTTCCACTCTTTCATATTTGGAAACAAACTTGACATGCTGGCGTCAAATACTTGAAAGATCTTGAAAGTTTCTGGATGCCACGCCGAAAAATTCTCTGGGGCCCTAACGAAGTGGGCATCGCGAGGCAAATGCGCCAGAGACACGCATCTGGCGCTACATAGTTCAGGGACCTGTAAGCCATGGGGTGACTTGGTGCCATTGAGGATCTCGCTTTCATGGAATTCCCGTGAATTATATGGAGGTGTCCATAAATGGCCCAATAGCTGGATGGTTTATGATGGAAAAAACAGATGAAGTGGATGAGAACTGGGGGTCCCCCAAATCAAAGGAAACTCCCACATTATGATGGGTTTTTTCTAACCAACAACAAATCCAATGTGCGTCTTTCTGGAAATGGGTGATACCATGCAATGGCCATTAATTGAGAGGAATCAGAGGAAAACTGATGAGAAATCAATAGAATTCATGGGATTTGGTGGTATTTTCAGAGAAACTCATAGCGTTAACAAAGGACCCCTGGATCTCTCATGAAATTATTTGTGACTGAACTATGGAAACATCCGCTGCCGCTATCTCGGCTATCTGCGAATAAGCCAGAATAATCCAAGGTAGGCCGAATGTATATGATTGAACAATTATGAACGCTTTCTAACCAGAGAATTGAAATCTGGGTTTGTCGAGGTGTGCTGTTTCCCAATTATGAACTACCAGACAAGATAGACAAATCACAATAATCTGAAGTCCAACTGAAAAAGATGCTCCCACCGAACCATGGCCATTTCCCCTGAGTTCGTCCAGCTCATCCAGATTCCGGGCCAACAAATCTCTCCACTCGGTGAGTGCCTGCGAGGCTCTCCATGATGTATCCCATCAATCTTCGTGAAAATTGAACACATGGTTTACCCCGTTCCTTACCACCAACAAGGTCACTTTTCGTTCACATGTTTCACCAATACTGTATTGACTGGATTTTGGTCCAGTTCCACAAGTCTGGGTTTAAACAACCAAAAATCCAGTGAGGTTCGTGTATCAAACAAAAATATCCAGTGAATTTGGGAGGCCCCAGCCATCCCAGACCCATCAACCCAGTCCCATCCAGTCCCATCCAGTCCCTCGCGTCGCGCATCGCGTATCGGACGTAGCACCTTCAAGGCGTTCATTTGCTTCGGCTCCAGGGGGCGTTGCTTGGACCCAAAACGTTCACAGAGCGACATGGCCTGGGAAGGGGCTGGATGCTGGAGAAAGGGTAAACTGTTGATGTTTGCAGTTGAATGATGGTGAAAAATCGTTGACTTTTCTGACAGCTTCATGATCTTTTATCCATTGAAACATATGTTCATTCAACATGGCTTTAAAAATTGTGGAATCAAAGATCATTGACTCCACAACCATCTGGCTTTAGACAACCTGCATCCTGAGTCACCTGCCAATTCACCGGCATCCAGTGGTGCTTCCCTGTAGGCCGTTCCGCAGAGTGCAGCACCTCGGAACGAACATCCAATGACTTGGAGGAAAATCATGACAGAAGCTATCCACAGATTTTGTTTAAGATCGGGATGAAAGACATAAAGATGATTGATTCAAAACATGTAAAGAACACCCACTATATCTATATCCATATATCTATGTCCATATAATATCTATATATGTATATATATGTGTGTGTGTATCATACACTTTTTCATCGTCCATTTTCGGCGCCATGTTCGCCCTGTCAGAGCGCCCCCCACTCTTCTGCATCACCCCTTGCAAGGCTTGCACCTGGGTGACGCAAATGTCGAACAAAGAACCAACTCAAACCGAATCATAGAATGTACAAATGCAGAGAAAGAGAGAGAGAGAGAAAAAAAGAGAGAGATATATATATATATATATTGTTTTTACACACTGATCCATATTACATATAAAGATTTTGGGTGTTCAATGTGTGAAAACCTGCTGTTTTCCCATCACATCTTTCCGAGGTTGCCACACCCTCTTCTGTTGCTTGAAGATCTCCACTTTCCAACCTCGAGGGGGTTTCCTGGAATCGGGCTACCCCAATAGCTGGATGGTAAATTTCATGGAAAATCCTATTTGTACATGGATGAGAACTGGGTCTACCTAGTTTAGGAAACCTCATGAAACCTCCATTTGAGATCTCTCAGGTCACCGAAAGTGGTGGCTTGGCAACACGCGACATGCTGTCGATTCATCTGGGCTTGCCGCGTGGTGATGCCCAAGTTCACTCCACTGGTCGAGGCCTCGCAATTTCACTTCGAAGGCTGACAGAAAACGGCCGAATCAGTTGAGTTTCCACTGAAAATCCAGAAAATCCAGAACGAAATGATGGATGCTGATGGATTTTCTGAGGGTCCCAAGCCTTTTTCACTTGGACAAAAGTTGAATGTGTGCCTCTTCCAAGCTGAGTTTCAGGGCCATGCCGCTCTGCGCCAGCAAAGCATTCTTCAAGCAATCATAACCTGAGAACTGGTGGAGATTGTCTGCAGATGGGACAGTCTACTGATTCTGCCAAGGCACAGAATAGCAAGTAGTGAGTATCTGCCTTGGAAAAGCATTGCTTTTTCCACCAAACAGCACGACATCTGGATCTTCCAAAGTGCAAATGTCCATCAAATGCCCAAACCCAGTCCTCTCTCGCTGTCTTTGGGACCCCAACACGTGCGTAGTACACCATCTCCTGCCCACGAAGCATCAAAAATGCGCGGATCCGTTTTGCATCCTCCTTCTGTGGGTCTGCATATTAGTCAGTGAAAACATCAACCATTGAAATCATTGAATAATATCTATCATCAGAAAGCTATCTGGTTTGATTTTTGAATTTTCTCCTGACCTCTTCTTATGTCAACAAGCCAGCAGAATCAGGGCACCTGTGGAAGGGGTCGTTCCCTCCAATCCGCTGTCTGGTACTTCTTATCCAGTTTCACCTTGGCGGGGCAGTGTGAAGAAACATCTGTCTGATTTAGGTAAATACATCTATTGAGACATAGATATAGGCATCAACTCCACTTTTTTTTCGATGCGTGGCAGCAGGTTTTTCAGCAGTTGGGACCAAATGTCTTCCAAACTGCTGCCTGGAAAAATTCAAACCTTCAAATGGTTCTTCCATCTGCTGTGCTTTCATGTCTCATGGCAGAGACTTTTGCAAAAGTGATCATAATGATCTTCTTGACCTCATGGCAGAGGTATCGCAAAAGAAAAACGGAAAACAAATGCCCCCATGGCAGGGGTCTTTCCTTCCAAGCAAAAAAGCAAGCGAGGGAGGTAGAGGGATGGGCCTAGGAAAAGACCCTTAAACAAGTAGAGCCAAACACATCGGATGAAGAGGGTTTCAGCCTATGACTCAAGCAGAAGACATAGGCATCAACTCCACTTCTTTTTCGATGCGTGGCAGCAGGTTTTTCAGCAGTTGGGACCAAATGTCTTCCAAACTGCTGCCTGGAAAAATTCAAACCTTCAAATGGTTCTTCCATCTGCTGTGCTTTCATGTCTCATGGCAGAGACTTTTGCAAAAGTGATCATAATGATCTTCTTGACCTCATGGCAGAGGTATCGCAAAAGAAAAACGGAAAACAAATGCCCCCATGGCAGGGGTCTTTCCTTCCAAGCAAAAAAGCAAGCGAGGGAGGTAGAGGGATGGGCCTAGGAAAAGACCCTTAAACAAGTAGAGCCAAACACATCGGATGAAGAGGGTTTCAGCCTATGACTCAAGCAGAAGACATAGGCATCAACTCCACTTCTTTTTCGATGCGTGGCAGCAGGTTTTTCAGCAGTTGGGACCAAATGTCTTCCAAACTGCTGCCTGGAAAAATTCAAACCTTCAAATGGTTCTTCCATCTGCTGTGCTTTCATGTCTCATGGCAGAGACTTTTGCAAAAGTGATCATAATGATCTTCTTGACCTCATGGCAGAGGTATCGCAAAAGAAAAACGGAAAACAAATGCCCCCATGGCAGGGGTCTTTCCACGTTCCCATTCTTGAGCAACTTAGTTGCTTGATGGAACCAAAATTATCGGGTCATCTCAGTTGCTGCTCAGGACTCCACTCTGCTAGCATGTCCCGGGCCTTCGCAGAGAAACGCAAACCTGGCAGGAAAGAAAGGCCATCGGCCAAATATATTTTGGCCACTTTTGTCGAAGCCCAACGTCCTTTGAGCAATGCTGCCTCCATGGATCCTGTACGTTGAAACAGGGCTGTTGCTCCGCCTCGTCTGAGGCTATAAGGTCGGAACCTGTGAGTCTCCAGGTTGAACCTCTTGATGTGATGGGCAAAGGTGTTCCTAAAGCACTGCGCGGATTTAGACCAAATAGGTACTCGATCCATCTGCAAACTTCGTTTTTGTTTGATGGTCGCACGGAGAACTTCCAGCGCAAGGTCAGATTGGACACTGACTGTTTCTTTTGCAGCGTTTCTGAGCCCTGATTTAGTTTCAGCTAAGCTGATAACACCATTGTCACTGCCTATCAAAAGGTCCTTCGGCCTTACCTGGAGGCACTCACCAGTTCGCAGCAAACCGTAAAAGCCCAATGCAAGCATCGAAGCAAACTCTAGGTTGCAGTGAGCTATGCAGTACATGATCCAGGCATCAACTATCTGTTGACTCAACGGCGGCGCTCGGTCAGAGGACTCAAGTTTGCGCCAGATAGCAAAGATCTTCCAACTTTCGGGGATGTGACGACGCGTCCAAGGTTCATAGTGGTGTATGGCACATAATGCATCACTCACCTGATGGATAGCATCACCAGCCTCCCATCTTTGTTGTATCCATTCAGACACGTTGCTATCCATTTCAACCAGCGAGCGGCTGCGCTCAAGCACCGGAAGGATTTGCTTCATGCCTAGGTAATAACGGACCTGAGTTTTCTCCGTTATTCCGGCATCTCGCAGCACGACATTCGCTCTCTGGCGAATTCTTTCAGCGCGAGTCCGCTTGCCACTGAAGCGCCATCGAACGGCTTTCCCCATCCGTCGGGTTTTCCGACGATTCTACATGTCCTACAATCATGGTGATACCAAAACCAAGCATCCATGCGTTCAGTTCTTTCAAAACTCTTCCCAGTTGTTTACTTCCAGTTCGACCCTTAGATATCACACTCATGCAGACAAAGGAGTCGGTTATGTGAACAATTCGGCAATGAACCTGATGAAGATGGAGTATATGGTATTTGGCTGCAAGAAGAATGGATCGAAGCTCCAGTACATTTATATGTTCAGAAAGCTTCCATTTGACCTTGAAAAGTGGCTTCCATTCCCACCAACCGGCTTGGACTGACTGACGGGGTGCAGACTTCGGTGATAGTACCTCGCCTGTCGTGAGCCTGATGTCTGAGCCTGTATGGTTCACCCTAGCCAATAGGACTTTGTTGATTTGTTCCACTGTTTGAGTTGAAGGATTGTCAGCATTCCCATACTGTAGCTTACGCCCCAATGGTGCAACCAGATTCAAAGGACATGTAAACCCAGGTGCAAGCCCCATGCGCAATGCCAGTTGGTGATAATGTAGTTTGGGGATATAAGCTCGGCACAGTGCTGCAGCAGGGATCACGAAAGAGAAAACACTGAAACTATCTCCCAGAAGACTTAGGCGCTCATCCTCATGTTGTTGTGGATTGCCTTTTATGGTTGAAGCATTGTAACATAGTTTGGTGTGTTCCCATCCATACCCCAGCAACAAATCCTTCTCAGACGCATTACAAAGTCTCCAGTTGTTACCCCTCCAAAAAATGAAACGTTGTTGGTAGTGGTATGGGGGGAACCGGAAATCATCTGAAGTCCATCTATGTATTGTATCCCAGTCGCAACGGTTCAAACCTGCCGGGGATTCTGGCGGTCTTTTTCGCTTGATGGACTTCATCGCAGTTGGTAGGAGGTGTCCTTCCTCTCCTCCAGGCCATTCACAACCCTCCGTAACCAGTGGTGGGATATGGGGCGGTTGCTGTGATCTCTGTCCGGTGCGTTTTCTCTTCAAAGGTGATCCCTTCCACGGCACCCTCGATCTCCTCGGATGTCCAGCAAAGCCTGGGCCTCTGCATTGGCACGGCGCCTGAAGGGTTGAGGTGATAAGGTCTGACTTCCAGCTCACTGGAGATTTCCTCACAGTGCTCCTTATCCATGGAGGCCACGTTCTCCCCCACGTATTTGAGGGCTACGTGAGGTGGCAGTTCTTTCTCCAAAAGCCGCTTGATCCTTACCACCTCCCAAAAGAGGCCTGAACCAGGTCCTTGAAGCCCTTGACGTCCAGCTCTGACCGATGACAGGTCATTGCAAGGAAAACCTGCCCATAGGTGTACCTCTCGCAAGGGGATATATTTATCCAGCCAGTTGCGAATCATCACCTCATCTAGACTTCGGACATCGCCACATATTTCTGCATGTGGCCACCTCTTCATAGTGACTCGGTTGGCTGGAGGATGAATTTCAAACACAACAGCTCCCATAGGGACTACACTCAACACGTCATAGGCTCTCAGGGCACCGCCTATCTCATTGAATAAAGAGATCACCAGTACCGGCACACGGCGAGGCCGGGGAAAGTTTGCCAGGGTCGTCACATAGTCTTGCCCGGCAGCTGTGAGTGACTTTGCAATTCCAACGGCTCCACCGCTGTTTGATGCGTCACTGGCCGTTGTGACTCCTGCCACCGACGCCCCCAGAAAAGTGTGCAGGAAGGGCACCGAGCACATGCAATTGAACAGTTCTCGCCTCACTCGATTCACCAGGTGAAGGTTCAAACCCTTCTTTGCAATAAACTCCCATGTTGACTCCAAAAAGGACATGGCAGGCCTCCTAAATTGGAATACATGAATCCATCTCCCTGCGACGATCTGAGTGAGCTTCTTTGAGAGGTGAGGCCTACTGAGAAGGAAAAGGGTTGCCTGAACCAATTTTACAAGCCTTTCAGGAGATCCTCCAATTGTTTGCACTGTTCCGTTGATATGCGCCCCAAGCTCTTGAGCCTCTAACTCCGCCACCTTTCTCTTTTTGGGGGATGAAACCACTTTGGCATTGGCCCATGCTGTCTCCGCCAGTTTATGTAGGTCACTACCACCCTCAAAGAAACTGTCTGCTGTTCCCACTTCCCCAGCTGCAAAGTTGTCCAGATAGACATGCCAGAATGTTTTCCCCTTGTCATAAGCTTCTGAAACCAACCCTGTAGCCCAAATAGGAAGTGGATTGTTTCGGGTGATTTGTGAACAAGTTGACAGCATCCCCCTTAATAAAATGTTTTCGCTAGCTTCCTGCATTAGGGACACGGAATTCGTCCAGCCCATTGGTAATACTGTGCAAGCTAAATTGTACATTTTTCCGGGGGTTAAACCAAGCTGATCACCATCTTGAGCAACGTTGAAGGCTAGTAGTGGGGCCCATGAAGCAGGTAAACGGAACAGGTAAAAAGCACTGGACATGTCGCTCTGCCAAATCCTCATCTGTTGGTTTTCTTCCAGTACAATACTCATCCATGAGGTAATCTGTGGTAGGCTTTTAACCGACCCTTCATAGCTCCTAATAACTGAGTTGCTGGGGACCAAATTCATGATGAGTCTCAGCGTGGATTTGCCATTGGGAAGAGTTGTGGGTTTAGCCACGCCAAACAACCCGTTCAGTACCGGCTGCCCCCGAAAATGCAGGACTGATTCGCTTGGTATCCATGTGCAAACCCCCCTTTTAACCAGTTCTGAAGAAATAAGTTCCATTTCGCCTTCTTTAACATGGATCTTTCCCTGAAGTTTTGGTAGTTCTTGTCCTTCATCTGCGACCAGACTCTTTAAGGGGTGTTTCAAGAAATCGCATGACGAAGAGGAAAGGAAACGGGTTAATTCAATAGAACCTCCATGTTCAGGGGGTGGCAAAGCTGGAAGGACCTGCTCTAGGCTGAGTGGGTGACATATGCCTATTTCTTCACCTGAATAACTGACCCTGCGCCCGTTCAGCTCTTTTTCAACCAGCCATGGGTCCGCCGGTGCTGCATGGCCGTGGCCGAGCAGTCGGTCGACCGCTGAGCCCACGGCACCCACTAGCTTCCGCTCGGCTTTCGACCAGCGGCCGCTGGGCAAGGGACTGGCAGCCCCCATCAGCGCATTGCAGGCATAACATGCCACCAGCTTCCATGCTGTGTGATTCCAGGTGCGGAGCCATTGAACCTCACGGATCTGATCCAGAGGTGTTGCCATCATCAAGTTAATAAATTCAGTGAAGTCTCCCTCGCATAGCGGAAGGGCCTGACGCGCACGCCGAGCCCTGGGCCACGCATCGGCACTGAAGATGCCATCCTCAAAACGGCTACACCCCTGAGCTCGTGAGATCTGTTTGGCGTTGCAAAGGCCCCATGCCAGCACGCACCCACACGAATCCAGGTCCCGGCATGACTCAAAAATGTCAGCCAGGCTGATCTGCTGCAAATACTCATCTGATAACTGCACGGCCTTCGCCAGCAGCTCAGTCGCCGGAGGGTTCGCTTCGCCCCCTCTGGCTTGTCCTTGGTTCGTGCCCACTCTGCAGCCCCCTGATCGGCTGCCTGTGGGGACTTGTACTTCCCCTTTCCTTTTCCTTTCCTGTCGCCCTTGCCTTTCTTGCCCTTGGCTCCTCCGTCTCCATGCTCGGCCCAGTCGCCCTTTCCACGTGGGCGTCCCTTGGCCCCCCATGAGGGCCATCCTGGACCTCCTTTGCCCTGCACCTTCTCGACCAGCTTTGAGTGCTTTCTGGACGCCAGGACCAACGAAGCTGCCGCAGCGGAAGCGTCTTCCAGCGGATACAGCTCCATGTGTCTTGCCGTCGTCCAGTTCTGGTCCAGCAACGCCTGGTGAATCGCCATGAACCTGGCAGCAAGGGTGTCCCCCAGCTTTGCCAGGTCCCCGCGGCGAAGCAAGTCCAGCGCTGCACTCAAGGTGTACATCTCGCGGAGTTCTCTCATCTGTGTAGGGTAGGTGGCTTTTATATGTTGGTGGAAATATGACACCACCTTCACCCCCGAGACCACCTTCTTCTCTTCTCGGGGAAGCTCTGTCGCCCCCTCCTGGTCCATCTGCGCACGGATGTGCTCGGTAAGCATCACCAGCACTGAACCCGGCTTGGCTCTGGACTTCTTTTTCATCGGCGCCTCCAGTTCTGTCTCCTCCGAACTGGCTTCCTCGTCCTCCTCCAGATCCGAGGTATCTGAAGAGCTCCTGCTGGAGCTCACAATCACCCCATTCTCCAACCTCCGTTTCTTGCGCTTCTTCTTCTTGTCGCCATCTCCATCTCTCTCTTTCTTGTTCTTCTTGTCCTTCTTGTTCTTCTTGCTGTCTGGGTTCAGCAACTTCCGCAAGACTTCCAGTCCTGCCTCGGCCGAACCCTTCTTTTTCTTCTTCTTGCGTTCCTCGTGGCGCGCCCGGCCGATCGCCAGCGCCCGGTTCACCAACTGTCCATTCAAGCTCTTCGTACCATCTCCTCTTGAACCCACGTATGGGACTATCTCCCGGGCCTTTTTGTCGTGGTCCTTGGAGTCTCTCCCACGATGGGTCTTCTTCCTCAACAGGGTGCCTGTGTCCAGGACTTCTGATGGTGAGTAACCTTGACTCAACTCCTCCTTGCCATCGTCGCCAGAGTGGTCCGAGCCTGATGGCACTTCTTCGACATCCCGGGGATCCCCAGGTGTACCATGGTGGCGTTGCCTGACTTTCTCCAACCTTGCCCGCAGCTTGTCCTTGTCGGCCTTTGTCATCTTCTCTGTCTCCTTGACAGGGGGCGATTTCTTTGCTGGGCCCGCCTTGGCTTTTGCTTTTTCGGCGCCTGGAGGTTTTCCAGCGCCAGCATCAGCCTTGGCTTTTCGAGGCCGCTTTGGCGCGGTAGCCTTTTTCAAATCTTTCCACAACTTCTTCAAGTGGTCCATCTCGTTGCGGCCCAAATAATCTGCTTTGAAGTTGTCTGGTCTCCACCAGCGGATGCGGGTGACGTGCAACACGGCCGGAGCCAGCGCGTCGCCAAACCCAGCTTCCATGCACGGTTTGCTTGGACACAGATGTAGTTTGGGCACTCCGTCTCCGAAGAAAGCTTCTAAAAGAGAGACAAGGCTGTCTGATTCGACTCCCAACCACTCGGTTGTCAGAAGGTAGGAACCGTCCAGACGATTCTCCAGTTTCTCTACAAAGAAAGCGGCCCAACTTTCGTCTGTGACCCCAAGATTTGTGGCTTCCAGCGCAACTTCCAAAACTGCGCCCGGCTCCACATGAAGGGCACTCCATTCCTCTGAATCTTCGTCCAAAGAAATTTCCTTCCCTTCGCTGCCCAAATTCATCTCAACGGCCCAGTCGATCCAAGCCCAGTGCTCCAGACTCGGATGTAGCCAGTTTCAAAAAGTCCGCACTCAAATGGCGGTGCACGGCGAGATGAGGATTCTCTGCCAGCCGCTTGAGGCGTTGATGTTTTCGGCCTCCCCGACGACGTGTCCCGTGGGCGTGGCGTCGCTGAGGGTGATGCTCCTTTTGTCAGCTGGCCTCTTGTCAGCACGACTCAGGGAAGCACGGATAGATGTAGTCCCAGGTGGAACTGGAGAGCGATCAGGTTCTGGTGGACGGCGGTGTCCTCCCCTGCTCCTCTCAGGCCCTTCCGGGCTGCGTTTGGACCTCCTTCTTCTGTCCTCCTCGTCAGTCTCCTCTGCTGGGTCCTCCTCTTCTTCGCTTTCCTGTTCCTCCTTGGGGGCGGCGTGCCCTGACGATCTCCTCCTCGGCAAGCTCTTGCGTTCTTCTCGGCGATCCTCACTGGCCGCGCGTTTTGGCGCACGGGTCTCCCCAGCACCACCAGTTGGCCCGCTCTCCCTCGCAAGTCCAGCCGACAGCGAGCGAAGAGCTCGGACCTGTCTGGCCGCGTTCACGACCAGGTCGTTCGCCACTCTCCGGGCTCCCTGCCCGTCCCAGGATCCTGATAGCTCGCGCCCGATGGCTTCCCAGCCGGCGCACCCGTAGCACCAGGTATCCCCTTCGACAGCAGGGATCTGCCGGCACTTGTTGCACAGGGGGTGCTGGGGCATTAACCCTAGGAAAAGACCCTTAAACAAGTAGAGCCAAACACATCGGATGAAGAGGGTTTCAGCCTATGACTCAAGCAGAAGACATTTGCATGAATAATATTATACATATATATATAGAAACATATGTATATTGAGATATAGATATGAAGATATATATATATACACATGAATCAGTCTATCATCCTGCTCTCCAGCCTTCCAGACTTCCGCGGGCCCGTTTTTCAGCCCAGGATGGATCTGTCTTCCACGGGTCGCCCGATGACTAACATTGAGCCTTGGGCGTCAGAGACCTCGGCCACCTGGAAAGTCACGAAGTGCAGCCATGAATCGTATCTACAAATATGTACGCATGTGTAGGTGATCTACATTCTTGTATGTCTAATCCATATTATATATATATATATACGTATAATATCATATAATTATGTATAATCTGCGAATCATTTACAAAAAAAACTATCACAATCTGTAAAAACTGTTGTTCTCGCGCCTTGTGTGGCGTCGTTCCTTCTCCAGCATCGCGAAGCCTGCAGGGCGGTTACCCAAAAAAGGGGAAAACGTGGTGATTCGTGGAATTAGGGATACAGTGGGATACCCAAATATGTCATACAAATCATTAGAATATTCTACAAATCCATATCCAAAATGTCTTCTGTCTTATTCTTGGAGAATGCCATATATTATGAACATAATGAACTTCTTAGACTTATATGGATGACATTTTGGTACACAGTCAGGTGCTGCTTCCAGGGCAGCGCCCTGCCTCCGAGTCTGCCGAATTTCCCCTTCGCCATCGTCATCCTCCTGACCGATGACCCATGGTATCCCATGGTGACTGGGGTGCTGAACGACTCAGAACCCTCAGAACCCTCAGTCCTTGTCCTGAGGATGCTCATCCTATCAGATTCCAACAGTGATGAAATCATGGCATCATGGGAGAAATGGCGCCTCCGGCAAGATGAGGCGCTTCTGGAAGATCCATAGAGCCACCGGGGAAATGAAGCCTGTGACTCCAATGATGAACCACATGAGTTGCGAGCGCCGCTCCTATCAAGGTGACCCGTGACCCACCAACCTGACAACTGACATCAACCGACATCAACCGACATCAACCGACCCGGCAAGAAATTTCAATGACAGGTGCAACCTACCCGGTCCTCAGCGGGTACATTTTGAGGGCAAAATGTCGCCAGAGCCCAACCTCTTTGATTGCGCTGTGATTCAGATCACCAAAGTGAACACACTGAAGATAGCTGAAGATCCAGATGATAAGCAGACAATCACCAGACAATCATCAGGCAAATAGTCGCCAGATAATCAACAAATGATCACCAAATAAAAGCACTAGATTCTAGTAATTATCTGATTATCATCTAGTCACTAGATCATAATCAGATAAAAAACCAAATAATTACCAGTACCAGTTTTCATCACCAGGCAATGACCATATTTACCATATTTACCATCTCACCACCTTCAGAACAAGCAGAACGGCCGCCTGAGATAAGTCCCACGGGAAGGGCCGCCAAATACATTGGGGCCATGGTGATGGCCAAATACATTCCCTCCTTGCCCTCAATGGCTGCCATGGTCGAGAACTCGTAGAGAGTGGGTGACCAAATCGTATCCTGACTAACATGATTCACAAAGGATAGAGGCTGCTGACTGTTTCACTATGTTTCACTGAAAAAAAACAACTTCGATTTTCATGACATGAAAATCATAGAAAATCACTCCTTTCGGATCTTTGGATCCTAAAAAAACCTTGGAATCTCAACGTCGGAGTGGCTCCCAGGGACAGCACCAGGACGAACATCACCGCGCCCAGGTAGGACTCCCAGATGCTCAGTGCGAAGACCGAGATCCCGGAGATGAAGGACCCCCAGAGCCTCAGGGCTTGGCGTCGTGGCGTCGTGGCGTCGTGGCACCAAGCGTTGCTTAAGGGATGGCAGGGTTCATTCAAAGTCCAGGGATAACAAAACATGATGTCAACTGAAAAATTGGCCAGAATTGGACAGAATGGTCAGAATTGGAGAGATGGAAAATCCGCCGGCCTGCCGGCGTGTCTTGTGGATCTTGCTTGTTCGTAGTTGTACTGTTTGTTTAGTCTTTTGTCTTTGTCTAGAGTCTAGACTTTCCCTTGGCGCGGATTTTTGCCCCGTCTAACTTGAACCCACCCCCTCCCCCCCCCTCCCCCAATTTCAACCCAAACCCCGCTTACGCAACACAATCTTTTCTGTCTTCTCTTCGTATTTTTCCTCTGTGTCTTTCGTTGCAATGTGCTGGGTTCGTCTCTGCCCCCGCCTTGCACACCGTGCGCGTGTTCTTGTTTGCTCCACTGCGTCCTGCGCTTCACGTTCTTGGTTGGCTAGCTGGCTTGCTGTTGTCTAAGCTTTCTTCTGCCGCCGTTGCTTCGCCATGAATGTGCTACAAGGGCTTTCTAGGGCTGACGCCCCGTCTACACAACAGCCTTGGTTTAGCCAAAAGCTTTGCTGCACTCAAACCCACTCCTGTACAGACCAACCCTGTCTTACACAAGTGCCCTGCCCGGCTTCCTCACCTTCATGCTCTTGCTGGGTCGGCTGCTTTGCTACTCTCTCTCTCTTGACTGCACTGAAGAGCAGGGTTGGTTCCCACCTTTTCAGGGTCTAGGACTTCTATCTTGGTGAGCAAGAGTAACACCAGCCTTTTAGGAACCAAATCCACAAAATGCTCACTTTATCGTGGCGGTACCGCCGAAGCCAGCCTGGGGTTGCAACTTACACTTGTACAAAACCTGTCAACCATCATCGATAAATTTCGATTTCATAGTCAGGTGCTGTTTCGCCCTTGCTCTTTTCGACTCTGGGCTGGGTCATCTGTCGCTTGGCTCCGGCAGCTCGACGTCAGCAAGTTGAAGAGTACCTGCAGCTGACACAAAGCGACCACGAATCGGGGCCGTCAACATGTGCAAAGTTGGGTCAAGTTGCACAAAGTGTCTCAGAATCTCAACGTTCTCAACTCTTGAAGGAACATGAGGGCTGGGTCATCTGGCGATTGGTTCCGGCAGCTCGACGTCAGCAAGTTGAAGAGTACCTGCAGCTGACACAAAACGACCACAAATCGGGGCCGTCAACATGTGCAAAGTTGGGTCAAGTTGCACAAAGTGTCTCAACAATCTCAATGTTCTCAACTCTTGAAGGAACATGAGGGCTGGGTCGTCTGGCGATTGGTTCCGGCAGCTCGACGTCAGCAAGTTGAAGAGCACCTGAAGCTGACCTAAAACGACCACAAATTGGGGCCATCAACATGTGCACAGTTGGGTCAGGTTGCACCAAGTGTCTCAAGAATCTCAATTTCTCAACTCTTGAAGGAGCATGAGGGCTGGGTCGTCTGGCGATTGGTTCCGGCAGCTCGACGTCAGCAAGTTGAAGAGCACCTGAAGCTGACACAAAATGACGACAAATCGGGGCCATCAACATGTGCAAAGTTGGGTCAAGTTGCACAAAGTGTCTCAATAATCTCAATGTTCTCAACTCTTGCAGGAACATGAGGGCTGGGTCATCTGGCGATTGGTTCCGGCAGCTCGACGTCAGCAAGTAGAAGAGCACCTGAAGCTGACACAAAACGACCACAAATCGGGGCCATCAACATGTGCAAAGTTGGGTCAAGTTGCACAAAGTGTCTCAAGAATCTCAATGTTCCCAACTCTTGAAGGAACATGAGGGCTGGGTCATCTGGCGATTAGTTCCGGCAGCTCAACGTCAGCAAATTGAAGAGCACCTGCAGCTGACACAAAACGACCACAAATCGGGGCCGTCAACATGTGCAAAGTTGGGTGAAGTTGCACAAAGTGTCTCAAGAATCTCAATGTTCTCAACTCTTGAAGGAACATGAGGTAATAAAAACGAAAGGCTGTGCAATGTGAAGGATTTATCATCTATTGCCCCTATTTCTTGAGTTCTTGTAGCCCACTACCAATGAAACCTTTGCTCATCTGAGCTTCAAAAGCAAGTTTGCTTAGAACATGTCTCTGTACCTTCAGACCATTTTGCAGCCAATCCTTCGTCTGCACCTTTGTGATAGTCTTCAATTCAACAACTTTCCATCTTGCAGTGCGTTTTGCATTCTGCAACTGGTTGGAAACACCTGGGGATCTGGTCACGAACATGCTGAGCAAATGTAAACTTCTCAGGCAAAGGTAGCCCCGCCGCTCCCAGCAACCCCCTCAAGGCGTACGCCCCAAGGGGCGGGGCCGCGCCAGGGGCAATTCTGCCTTCTCCACCCAGCCAGTTGTGACCATGGCCTGCTTCCCTTCTTGCCCGTAGCGCCGCGCAGCCGCTGGGCTCAGCACCCCCACGACGGCCCCGAGCACATAGGCCCTTGATGAGGTGGCTTGGCTATAGCCAGGTGCCTGGGTCGTCCAGTCCCGCTCCCGGACGGTGCCCTGGCCATCTTCACCAAGTCGCATGGCCACCCGTTTGAGGCGTGCATCATCCTCTGTCAGCTGAAATGCACTTTTTTTTTCCCTCTTTTTGACAAGTGGGTGCGGTCCACTTGCTGCCACTCAGCTTCTGGTAATGCTTCAGCTGCAGCGCCAGGGATGGCCACGAGCAAGAACATCTTGACCAAGTGGCTGTGGCCGGGCTGGTTCCACTCACCGAAATAGTGGCAAATGCCATATCGCGCTGCAATTGCATGGGACTGTGAGGTGTAGGCACCTCGGCCGCAGGCCGTCCCATTGGCGCTGTTGTCACTTTCGGAAGGTAGAATTTCGCCAACAGCCAAGGCACTTGACACCCCGTATAGCGACGTGCCATGAAATTCCAGCTGCCACCCGGCACTCCAGCTCGGAACGCTTTTGTGCGCTGAAATGGTGGCTGCTACGCTTTCTGGCACTGGCGGTGCAACTGCTGTGGGGTAGAACCGCCACTCTTCCCCAGGCTTGTCTGCCGGAAACTCTGGGAACTGCAGCTGCGGGGCTAGCTCCCTCGCCACTGCCAGGTTGGGCGGCAAGTCTTCTAGCAGCTCAGCAACAGGTCTTACCCCTTCCACACTGTACCGGTGCCCTCTCTCTATGAGCCACTTGTTCACGTCATCCCACACTGGCGCTGTCGGTATTGCGGGCAGCCATTCCAGCTCGGCCATCCACTGCCGCACGCCTTCAGTGCGCAAGACATCGTGGGAGCGGATCAGCTTCACCAGGCCACCAGTGAACTTTCGGATCCCTCGCGGCGTGAAGTTGGCTCTGCTATGGGCTGGTGGGATAGCCCAAGTGTACTCCCGCAACCGCGCCACACCCGCAGCTTCCACCATGGCCGCCCTGCGGACTGCGTCCCTAGCACATTCTTGCCTACTGTCTTTGTTGTTGTTCTTCGCGGAGCTGCACAACATGGAAAAAAGCAGTGTGTTCTGTTTTCTTGCCTGACAAAGTTCTATTTCTTAACTTGTTCCTGGTCTTTCCTGCTCTGCGGCTGCGCGATGTTTGCCGGTGGTGATACACATACACCCACCTTTCCCACCAGTTCCAGACCCGCCCATTCCAAAAACCGACAGCCCCGCCTTCAGCTCAGCTGGCTGCAGCGCTGCTCGCTAACACCGCGCATAGGCACCTGCAGTTGCGGCTACCATGCAACACACCCCTTCACTCTGCAGAGTCTCACACGGACTGCAACCTCGAGGTGTACACCCCAAGATGCAAGCACTGAAGCACCTTCACCTTGTGGCTCTATCATGCCATGTTATGTTCACTGCTTACAGCAAACGGTGTCAAAGTTTCCAGCAAACCGGCCCGAGCGTCTTGACTGCTCAAAACTCGCGCCTCTGCAGCGCCGAGTCCAGACCCACGGATGCCAAAAACCGACATCCCCGCCTTCAGCACCGCTCGCTGCAGTGCTGCTGGCTAACACCGCACATAGGTGCCTGCAGTTGCGGCTACCATGCAGCACACCCCCCATACGCCCCAAGGATGCCTCACCAGCCCGGACTTAAGCACGCAGTCATCTAATTGACCTGTTCCTGCTACCGCCCCTTCCTTGCTATGTTGGCCTTTGTCTTTTCAGGTGCCTGCATACCCCAAAATCTGGACCCCTATCCTGGCTGCTGCTATGCTGAGCTGCACGCACTTGCACTTTATCTGCTTCTATGTCCTATCTCTGCTATACATGTTTGCGACGCCGGGATCTTTTCAGTTGCGTCCATGGCCCCAAATCTACACCCCTATCCTGACTGCTGCTACGCTTTACTGCATGCACTTGCGCTTTATCTCTCCTATGCCATGTCTCTGCGTTGAAGGTCTGAGAAGCCGAAATAGCTCTGGCCGTGGTGGCCGGCGGAACACGCCAACGGCGGTTAAATTGGAAGTTGGAGAGAATTGGACAGAATTGACAGAATGGTAAAAACATGTAAAAACTATGATAAACTGATAAACTTCTTCTGGTTCCTCTGGGTTTGACTCACTATGAAGTTGCATCTCAAAGGTCAAATTTCAGACAGGCAGCAGCTTTTGCGTCAAGGTAGTCTTCCATTTCCTCAGCATCACATCAGCATCACTGCAGGGTCTCAGTTGCTTCAGTTATCTTCAGTTGCTCAACAACTGGCCAAGGGGCAGCAACAGCCCGGTCATCAGTGGTGTACCAATCATCTCCACAATGGGATTGATGGCCAAGATGATCTCGAAAGGTGCCTGACCGTCACAGAAGTCACCCAGGTCACCCACCCAGTGACACGCCGGAGCGCTATCCCAAGGTCCCAAGGCGCCTGAGGGCCGTAGGTTCGGATGAAGTATTTGGGGAACGTGGCATCCACGTGGCGAAAGGTCATGCGAACACCTGAAAAAGGGCGATGATGGAATAGCTGAATAGATATATTACAGCAGAGATACTGCGAACCCATGGGAACCTACCGGGAACCCAATGGGAACCCGATATCTCATCACCCCTGCGGCCATTCTTCGTCATTCGCCTATGAAGATGCCGGTGACTGCCGCCAGACGCCAGAACTTTGCTTGGCCAACGATTTCTTTCACGGTCTCTCTCACCTTGGCGGATCATCCATCGAAACCTCAAACGTGTGCTTCGAACATGTTCCTGTCCATCGCTCTGACGAGTTTCGAGTCAAAATGCTGGACAGGCAAACCTTCAAACATGTGAAAACAGATGTTTTCCAGAAACCGCCAGCATATGTTTCAAGTCAATTCAAGTTAAATACGTTGATTTTCAGATTCCTCTCCCTGTGGCGAGGCCCTCGCAGTGAAGGTTCCCGGTTTGAATTTGCAGTACTCTCGATCCTGGCAGATCAAGCAGCCATCCAGTTCCCCGGAAGTTGCCACATTCTGCAGCTTGAAACCCCCAGCCCTAAGTCATCAGAAAGATGCTACAAGTATGTTATTAGATCGTTATAAGTTATAATTACCGGTAGTTAATGGTAGTTACAACGTTTCTTGAAGTGGGGACCCCAAATTCATGAAGATCATGAAGCGACACCTTGACCAAGTCGAATGTTCAGAACAGGCCTTCAAGGGCAAATCTGAGAGGATCTGAATGTCACGGACAAAGAGCGCTGCAATCCTCGAAAAGAGTGCTGAGTGCCATCTGAGATTCACAACCTGCCAACCGTGTGCATTGTGCTCATTCTGAGGCCCATGCACTGTGTAGAAGGTACACAAAGTGCACCTGGTTGCAAGATGTTGCAATGGCATTCAATAATTCCCGTTGTGAACCAATGAGCTACTGTTACTGACCCCAAACGGTTTAGAAGCAGCATGATTCAGTTCCACTTTCGTAACCATTCACAACAAGAGAGGCAGCTACTGACACATGAAAGCAGGAAGATTCACCAGCTGCGGCTGGAAGACAGGCCCAGCACCATTCGCATCCAACTGATTTTCACCTCGGTCAAGATGATCGTGGAATCAAGGTGGGCTTCTCAAAACGAGCCAACGAAAAGTCCAACTTCTCTTACCGGAAATAAACCACCAGTAATAAACCACAAGTATCCATCAAGACTCTCCAAAAAATCGGATCTCCAAGCCGTTTGAAACCAGCCATCCCAAGCCGCAGCTGAGTTCAACTGGTGCCATGTTGAATATAGGAAGGGCACTCCCAGGATCACCGCTCCATCCATCATCATGTCACGCACGATGTTGATGAGAACGCTGCCCAGCAAACATCCCAAGCAGAGCATCGAATAGAAAAAGGAGAAGGCGAAGGCACGATTCTCCCTGCGCTTGGAAACTGATTTGTGTGTTCATTGAATTCATCCCAGAATTCTGGAAGTGAATTTATGTATATATATATATATACATATTAATATATATAATATTTCTCTGTCTGTCTGTCTGTCTATCTCTATCTATCTATTCGAATCCAACTCTAATCAAATTTAATCTAACTATACACATGATATCTATTATAGATTATTATAGTATGCTACTCCGTTGGTATCCTGTTGAAGCCTCCAGGCCTGTGGGTATAGCGCCGCACGGCTAACGCCAAGACGGGCACCCCGAAGGCCGCGCCCATGGGCGCTACGGTCATGGTGGCGAACCACATGAGTTGCCTCAAGCGCTTCACACAGCTTCACAAGCTTATTGATAGATATTCATAGAGAAGTTGATCATGGAGATTTATAGATATTTAAAGAGATGGTTGTGAATATCAATAAATCCCTGTAAATGAGGTGTTCATAAAGATATGTGTTGGTATTAAGAGATGTTGATAGATGTTGATATTTATATATATATATATTGACTTGACAAATAGATACAAATAGCATGTTCATGAGGCAGCTTCCAAGTGCTTGATGGCCGTCATCGAAAGTGATGCTAAAATACCTTGGCATTTTGAGATGGGAAATGAAAAGCTCTGCAAATGCCCAGCCTGGAAGATGAGAGTCCACAAATGGCACGGTACAGAGTAGAGCATGTGCAGCCTCAGGAGCACTTTAGCAATAACAATTTCTGGACCAACCTCTGCATAAGTTTGCGTTCAAAAAAAAGAACCAACAAACAAAAGACATCCAAGAGCACATCAAGTCTCAAATCTTGTCACAAATCACCCCAGAAATCCAGTGGGTTTCCAGTGGGTTTCCAGTGGGTTTCCAACGGTTTCTTCCCGGCGTCCCTCTGAGGTCCCTCTGAGGTCCCCGACCCAGGAGCATTGACCTCCGGACTCCCAGCCGATCGATGACGAATCCGAAGACCAGACCGAAACCTCGGTGGTTCCAGTGGTTCCAAGGTCCGCTGCGTTCTTGGGCAGATTCTGTTGCCATTGCCATTCCTTTTCGCCGATTCTTATGGATTCTTCCATTTGAATCCTTGCTTCTCTGGATGAAAGCTACATGGGTGTGATCATCCATGAAAGGGGCCAGAAAAATTGGCACATGAAATCTCCGGATCACCAGATCACCAGCAACCCGGAATGGCACATGGTGCACCAAAAACAACCAGATCACCATCCAAAAATCGCCCAAGAACCTGTGCAGGCAAAGCCATAGGCAGCATAGAGATTGCCAGCTTCTGTGTCAGACATGCCATACTCATCGGAAACATAGCTCCTAAGCCATCAAAAACTGAGCCATCAAAATCATTGGCGGCAGAACCACTCTGCCCGAGCCTTTCACATATTTTTTTCTTTTTGCCAATTTGCTTTCGATGACACTTCTGTGTGTGACTTCCATGTCAAGTCAAGTGTAAGTCAAGTGAGCATCGCACACATAGATGTACGAGAAGCCATAATAGGCCATGATCTCTGCTGCCTGCCACAGCCGCCAGCTCCAGAGTTCTCCATCGTCCCAGATGGTCCCAGATGGTCCCAGTCCGATGGCCTTTATGGAGAAAACCACAAAGAGATCGTATGGCGCTTGCAGCAGGGCAGCTGGTCCTTTCCACCTGAAAATTTCGGCAAATTCAATGGCAACCAACAGCTGCGAAATCACAAAAAGCATACAAAACATATGACTCAGAAACAATCATGCCAGAACTAGTCATAACCATGCTGATCTTTTTTGAAGCTAAAGCATGCTAAAGCCAGGTGCTGGTACAGTGACGCTGTACTTAGACTCCAACAGTTCCAACAGTTCCAACAGTTCCAACAGTTCCAACAGTATGATTATCACTTGGCTGTCTTTTTCAGGTGTCGAAACCTGTCGAAACCATGCCAGGCTCACCCTTTGCCCACGATGTTTTCCGCCACCGCAGCCCCTTTGCTTCTCAGCTCATCATTCTCCTCCCGAAGCCTTCGGGGGGACAATAAGGACGAAACCAGTTGGTTTTCACCTTCATCAAACCATATCTGCAATATCAAACCATATCAAAGCTGTATCTCTCTGTCGTTTCCTCTTTCGAATCCATCTCTCTGATTTTTTCCAAAAAAACTCAAATCTCCATGTCACACTTGTTCAACATGGAAGTTGAAACTGACATCGGACTGATGGACTGATGTCGCACCTGGATAGTTCAGTGAGAACTCCAGTGGCCAAGGTCACCTCCGGCAGAATCACCATGTCACAACGACAGTTTTTCAAAATCTGCTTGGTGGTTTTTTCCCTACCATTGGTTGGTAATATACTATTAATAATGGTTAATATGGTTATTATATGGTTAATGATGGTTAATAACATTCTGGTTGGTGGTTGAGCCAGCCACCCCTCTGAAAAATGATGGACTGAAAGTCAGTTGGGAGGATGACATTCCCAATATATCCCAATATGATGGGAAAAATAATCCATTCATGTTCCAAACCACCAACCAGAAATGAATCAAATGTGGGGAGAGTTTCGTTTCACAATTTCGAAATGAACAACTATGAATTTCATCTCATTGCAATCCGTCTTCATATGTTGCTGTGATTGCTGTCCCTAGACTCCCTTTCGAGATTGCCAAGTTCTGGTTTCATGGTATCAAATACCATAAATCGGTACAACCTGGTGATTAAAAATCATTGAAAGCAACAGTCCCATGTTCAACCAGTAGATGATCTTTGGCCACCAAGTTTCCTGTAGAAACCACATGGTTTTGTCCAGAAATGGTGGATACCCATCAAAATATGGCCACTTTGATGGGGCAATGGATGATAAAGAATGATACACCACAGAATTTTGGGGTATTTACCCCATGTTCATCTATTTTCAGATAAAAATGATAAAACCACATGGGAAAAAAAGCAAATTGTCCCTATGTTTCATGCTGTTCGCAACGCCTGGAGCTCCATAACCTGCGAACGCAACTTGGCATTCTCTTCCCGCAGCCTGCCCATGGTTTGGTCAACGATGTCGTTGAAAGTCAGAAAGTTTCACAGCGTTTCCGTTTGAACAGTTTGGGGTTGTCGGAAAAATCTGGTACACCCCCAAAATCTCAATGATTTATCATATGTAATAAAATCATGGCTTTATCATCATTTTCCCCCAAAAAAGCACCATGTTGGTGTTCAGACACACCTGCTGTCTGAAAGCAGCCCTGCCTGTAAAGCTCCTCATGGAGCTCATTACCTGTCAGCATAAAACCGCCAAATCTCAAGAGATTAAAACCAAGCCATGGTCAGAATCTGTCAGAGTTGCTTCAAAGGGATTCCAGATACGTATATACATATGTATATATATATACATTACTTATATTTAACTATATATGACATATGAGATGTGTATATCTCTATAGATATCAAGAATTATAAAGAGATAGATATCATTGATATCATATATCCAAATAATCTTACAACAGCTTAATGGCTTAATGGTCCTTTTAAATTTATCCCCTACCAACACAACGGTGACAGCTGTTCCAAGGTACCAGAAGGTGGGGCATCGGTGAGCACGCCGCTGCAACCATCATCCATGGCCAAGACATCGGAATTCATGGTGCTGATTGGCTCACTTACCCTCTGGTAAACATACAAAAAACTATGGAAAATCACTATTTTTAATGGGTAAATCCACTATGAATCGCCATTTTCAATAGCTATATTAAATTACCGGTAGGTCTGAAAATTGGGTTTTTTCGGGAAAAACCCCAAGTGCCAAATGGGGAAAATATGGGAAAATGATGACTAACCGACTAACCATCAAATTGCGGGGTAGCCTGTTTTCAGACTAAGCCACTTGGAGGTTGCAACTAGTCAAGGTTGTCATTTGGATTGATTTTGTAGGGAAAATCGACGGAAGACCATGGCTTTTACCCCCAAATGTTTGGGGGTTCCTAAAAAAATGTTCTTTTCGTCCAATTCTGGGACAGTATTGTTTGGGTCACTTCGCCTATGCAGCCCCCAACGGCTTCGCTCATCTGCGAATACAAACTCAACAAACTCACAATATCCCAAATGTTTCTGGGGCCATAGATGCTGAATTTCCATACCAGACTTCATCTTCATCATCACGTCAGTTTGAGATGTTTTTGATGGTGTGATGTTTGGTGTAGGACCTTTGCCGCTTAAGTTTGATCCAAATCCTGAAACTAGCGCAGCTACGGATGTCAGATGATTTTTTCGATTGGTTCAATTGGTTCAAAAATTGATTTTTTCAAGAACCATAGTTGGTTAACATGATATTGACAAATGAACCAATTGATTGGTTTAAATGGTGTTAACAGCTGTTGGTTAACTTTGTTTTACCTTTTAACTCTCAGAAACCACCTGAGAAATCGCTGTTCAGATCTGAGTCAATGGCTCCACAAAAGTGCGACACCAGGTTGGCCAGAGAGAAGCCACCTGCAGCAAACTGGGTCATTTAGGTTAGAAAACAAATGAAGATTAAGATCATGGAGTAATGTCACATTTTTGTCGATCAAACATCTCTCACAAGTTATTTAGAAAGTTCATGTTGGCATGTTGGCTATATAATGTGTCAAAGTGTATCAAATGATGTCGAACCATGTCCCAATTTCTTCCTGCCTTGAAGCCGCAGCGCACGTGTGGCCAAGCCAGTATCGAACCTCAGCTTTTTCAAGGATTGGATGGAAATTCGGAGCGAAGTTCCGCCAGCAATCACACTTTTTATGGGATTTTATGGTGAAACTAACCCCCACATAAAGGTGGGATATAGCCCCCTATAACTCTGGTTTTGGAGCTGCCGAATTCTCTGAGTTCCCAGCATGTTCACCAAATAGACCGAGAAATCTCGTTGGAGCCACAGAACATCCCCTGGCAGTTTTGGAGATTTGGAAAGTGGAAAAAAGACAGGATGCAATCTGTGCCAATGGTCGATTGGAACTCGTACCTTTAAAATCACCAAACGAGTTTTTACACCCAAAAAAATTTGGGGGTTCCTGCAAATTCTCCTAACAAAACTCTTGGATCTCTTGGAAAATTGATGGAACCCAGGCCTGCAAATTCTACGACCTTTCTACGACGGCCACGCCGAAACGCTTTTCAATCTCAGGCTGCGACGATCCGCGCCATGCAGCACTTTCAGGATGCGCGGGTCCGAAAAGATCTGGCGGAGACTGGAGACACATCTGGCGGAGACCCAGTGACTACTAAGTGATTGCTAATGAGTTACTAATGTTTCATTTGTTTCATTTGTTTCATTTATTTCATTTATTTCATTTATTTCATTTGTTTGTTTCCCTGATGGAGCAGTGATAGAGAGGTCGGATTCAATAAAAATGTGAACAACGCTCAAGTCCACGTTTTAAAAAAACACGTCAGATTCCGTGTGTCTTGGCCTCGTTCAACAAGTGCATCTGCTCAAAGATCTCAAAAGGATCCAATAAGAAATCCTTTTGTCTGGTTGACACCTGAGCCAACATCTGCACCACTCAAGCCGAGGAGTGTGGCTCAGCACATGTCACCTACACTTTTCTGAGTTTTTGGGGGTGTGTCTCAAAGGTTGAACCCCCAAAAAAGATGACAAAGACGAAACCGTGAAAAATGGAGCATGTTGGGTTTAGTCATAGTTTTTCCTGGTGTTTCCAAAGACAATTGCTGTATGTATCCAGAATCGGTGAATAACTGGGTTTTCCTGGTGTTTCCAAAGATGTTTCCAAAGAAAAACCTCTGGATCCAGCGAAATCGAGCCTGGACCAGGCAAACGAAGCCCCTGTAAGACCTGGCACCGAAAGATGTGGGATTCAATCAATGTCATATAATCCCAACTTGGGGATGGTTTATCAAAGAAATCCACCACCACTCCAGGTTGGAAATGGTTGGAAAACTATAAGAAAACTATACGAAAAACGTGGAAAAAAAAAACTCCAGGATTTTTTTTTCCTTCCAGGTTGATCCCAGGTGACCCGTCCTGAAATCGTGGTGTTCCACGTCCACCGCGATCTCTTTGCCAACGCAGGTGGCTTTGATCTCTGAGATCATCTCCTTTAGCTCCGATTCCGTGCGCACCAGGATCAGTGGGGTGTCCTGGGATGGGTGGATGGATGATGTGGATGTTGATATTGACAAATAGTCGTAAAATGTCGTAAATTGATGTGAATGAATGGAAGACATTGGAAGACCACAAGATCTCAGAGCATCTGCAGATTCCTCTGAAAACACAACCATCATCTGATGTCGCCATTCATGGCACTTGATGTAGCGTGCCTCCACCCGGGGGTAGCGCTGAGCCGGCTGGCACTGAAAAAAGCTGTCAGGCCAACTGAGACCATTCAGTTCCTGGCCGCAGGTGTGGAATCAGCGATCAACTCATGACACTCCTGGCGTTTGAGTGACAAGCTTATCTGGGTGTGTCTGAAAATGGGGTATATGCAGTATACCCCCCAAAATTGTTGTTTAAATAGGAATAATTTATGATGATTGACCAATCAGTTGAGGCTTAAGTATCCTATTTTCCAGACAAACTCACATAAGTTACATAAGTTGTCATAAGTTCAGATATCCCCGAGGATATCCCCCATTTTTTCTGCAGCTTTTGCCGTGGTTCACGTCTCACACCACCGGCGCCGGAGCCGCTGCAGTCGCGGCTTCGATCTGCAGCAGCGGACCCCGCGCGCTGGGACTCGCCACGCGACGTCTCACCGCCGCCAGGCCCAGGAGGGAAGCGGCCACGGCCGCCACGGCCGCCATGGCCATGGGGGCGAAGCTGTGGAAGATGAGGTTTGGCTGTGGAACTTGTGGAGCTTGGTGACTTGGATGACTTTCATCCAAGAGTTCTTCTCCAGAAGTCCAAGGTAATTTGCAATCTTTCATATCATCTTTCATCACCTTCACATCACTTTTCGTTGGTGCGAAATGTTTCATCTCCTTCTCCGTGGCGATGTAGTCCTGTCCGGTTCGCAGGGTGAAATCCTTCGGCAGCTCCTGGCGTAAGCGCAGCCCGATGCTGGGAGGCATAGGACATTCCTGGGGATAGGCGTGGTGCATCCATTGGGAAAAGAGCCGACCGTGGATCACCACCAGACCATTGTGAGCCTTGGCGTGGCAGAACAACTCAGTTCAGGCTCACATTTTCAGAGTATGATTTTTGCTATTCCATCAAGGTAAAATCCACAGTCAACCCATAGTTATCCATGTTCTATCTAAGATTCTATTCATACAATTTTATATAATTATATATATATACACTAATATCATGATATGATATATGTATCAATCCATACATTCCACCAGTACAGTGATCATCCCATATCACATGCCGAAAATGTCTATCCCTTGGACCTCCAACTGAGCCCCGGGGCGATTTCCTCCAAGCTGTGCTGCGTTGGCGCCGGCGCCGGCAGCACCGCCTGGACGGCCGCCGCCACCGAAGCGGCGGGGGCCGAGGGAGCAGCCAGGGCCTTCTCCAACTTCGCCTCAGGTGACTCCGGGGGTTCCCGAAGTCATATAATCACAGGATTGGTTTAAGGGAAAATCTACAGGAACCATGGTTTTTACCATCAAATATAGGGTTTTCTGGATTTTCAGTGGAAACTCAACTGGGTATGGGTCAATACCTATAGATACATTTTTAGTGGGATGAACATCCATAAATCCCAGCTATGACTTGGGGTTAGGTACCAGGGTTTTGACCTCAGGAGTGAAGCAATCCATGGTGGAACCCTATCAATCCTATCAGTTCTTGTGTAAATTAGGGTAAATTCCGGTTGATAAATGTTGATGGTATCAAAAAACGAATTTTGGGGAACCACCATTTTGGTAAGCCATGGTCAAAATCCTTCAAGTTCTTGGCGATCAACGGGGAAACCAATCGTGTTCTGGGTACCCCTATTCTGGGAAACATGTCTAATGAAAATCATAAAACATCGGGGGAGTTGGGGGACTTCATGAACTTGACCATCAAGAGTGAAATTCAACCCCACCCAACCTCAAAATCTCAAGAATCTAAGGGCAAAAAACCGACCACCAAACCAGCTCCTCCCTCCCACACCCGCTTCCGATCCGCCAGGTCTCAATCAGCTGATCGCAGGGATCCACACAGCACTGGGCGTAGAACCGTGAGGTGCCGATGCAGTTGGATGCGCCCAAGAGGTAGTTGGACACCACCACAGCAGGCTGCTGGCGGGAGGCATCCAGGGCCCCTAGGTCACGCAGATAGTCCACCTGGGCTCAAGCCGAAGGGTGATCCGTGCCACACGAAAGCGTGAAGAACGACCATCAATCATCAACTGACATTGATGACTGCCATGAACATGTACAAGCAGATAGTCTTGCAATTTTGTTGGGATATGTTCCCATAAGACATTAGTTCACAAAAAAAAACATATCAATGGATTGGTTTAAGGGAAATTTTACAGGAAAACCCTATATTTAATGGTAAAAACCATGGTTTCCGGTTCCGATTTTCCCTCAATCCAATGACTGGACATATCTCCAAGGCACGCTTTCACTGAACTGCCACTTCTCTTCGTACAGAGAGGCCGCGTAGAAGCGCGAAAGATCCACCCGGCCGGGACAACGCTCCATACCAGACAGCACCTAAAGGACACCCTTTGGGCGCAAAATGTGCAAAAACACCTTGAAATTTCAATGAAATCCCAAGAAATCCCAAGGTATTTATTCAAATTATGGATATTTCAAGCAGTTTTCCAGAATGATTCCAGCCTCTCAGATTTCTCACCAACGTTTTGCCAGCACTGAATCTGCTTACCTTTTTCAACTGCCCTTCCAAACCACTCTACACGAAGTGCACAGCTTCCTCAAGACCTTCCAACTCCTAAGAAAACATCCCAAAACCATCCCCCAAAAAAACTATGGCCCTGCCAAGGCCTTAACCAGGCCTTAACCAGGGAAATCCAGTTATCTCCAAGGCACATTCTTCATCTCCTGGCAGTCCACCTCATCATGCCAACGGCCATAGTGCTCATGGATCTCCTCAACGACATGGGTGATCTCCTCAAAGCTCAAGCTGCCCCGCCGGGCCGGGGCCACCACCCCTTGGATGTCGCGCAGGAACTTCTGCGTCTTGGGCCAATTGGGATAGACCTCCTCCATGGGACGCTGCCCCGAAAGGTACAGGGAAACATCCTGTTGATCCAGGTTGGTACCATCCAGGTTCGCCACCTACGTCCAACAGCCAGGCTTTCAAAGAAACAAGCCTTGCAAAAAGCTGAAAAAAACGTGAAAGAGACATCGAATACATCGAATCATATCCATTTCTCATCTGCATCCATACAACCGTCATGAACCAATTCAATCCAATTCATGCATTCCATGTTCATATCATTTCATATGGAGGTTTCCTAAACTGGGGGTCCCCGCAAATCATCCAAGTCATGAACGACCATTTCACTATTTTTCAAACCATGGTTTTTCTTGTGGATCCCCCAATCTTTCAGGAAACCTCCAGATCTGCATCTGTTCATGCATTTCATGCGGACCTCAAGGATGTAGCTCATCATCACATAATCCAAGAGTTTTCCCAGCTCTTCCACTGAGACTTTCCCCACCAGGGGCATTCGCTTGGCTCTGAAGGCAGCAGAGACGCGCTGCATGGTCTCACGGTGCACCTAATCATGGTAACTCTGCAGGAAACTGCCAGGGGGTTGCGGGTTGCCCCCCAAAAAAAAGGGGTTGGTGTAAATGTTCCCTTTTTCTAGGGTCTATGAAACATCTTGCTGAAACGGAAACCAGCAATATGCTTTGATCACAACTCACTTGACTCGCCATATCTTTCATTTGTCAGTGATGTACTCGCCAACCCTCAATCACCCCATCATCCAAGAAATCGATAAAATAGTTTGCCCAGAATTTTAATAATTCACCACAGTTTTTCTTGTGAATTCATGTAACAAATCATCCTCTAACTCTTCGTTAAACCACCATTTTTTCATCATGAAACGCCATTTCGACCATGGAACCAGATCTTCCAACAGCGCTGCCAGCAGAGCGAGGTCAGTGAGGCAGAGTCCGGTTTGCCTTGGCTCAGACCATGGAAAAATTGGTGGAAAAATCACTGAAAAGTGATGGAAAATTTGGAAAATGATATGGAACATGATATGGAAAATAGCTTTTTAAAATGGCCAAAAGGCAAGAAATGATATGAAAACTGATTGGATTGATGTCATCATTTTCAGATTCTTAGTTAGCATGGAACATACGTGTTTCTCTGCAAAAATCCACATTTTTTCCCAGGTCGACCGGTGGTTTCAGGGCCCAGTGGCTGCAGTCGTTGTTCAAAGAGGGCCTTCACGACAGCTGGCACCTGGTCCTGCAGGATGACCACCGGTGAGGAGACGTTGGCGTGGCCGATTTCACCTCGGGTCGCAGTGAAACCGCCATCCACTGCTTGATCCAAAAAGTTGGAAATCCCACTTTGGATATTTTTGGATCATGATTTTTCCGGATTTTTCCAAGTACAATTGCCACTTTGCGGTATACCATGGTATATACCCCATTTGCAGACACATCCAAATCTTTCCTCTGGTGGAACTATTCAGCGACAAGAAACCCACCCATTCCTGGGATTCCTAGGCCCTGATCCCCCCATACCCCCCCCCATTTCGCCAAAAAAAAATAGATCACTGCGATGGGGAAATGAGTTGCTGCACCTCTTTACATCCAGAAACATCTCATTTTCTGACAAAAATCAAGAGCCTCGGCCCAAACTCCATCAAGTTCCCACTTTAGACATCACTCAACTTTCACAAGCATTTTTGCATCCCTACAAAATTCCAATCTCCAATTCCCAAAATCACCAGCTCCCCAAGCACCAAGCCGGGCACGGGAAGGGTCCAGTTCCTGCAAGCCTTTCACGAACCAACCCTTCTCCACAAAGAGCCGATGCAACGCATAGCGCGCCGATGAGGACGCCAGGCATCCGTCAGGGGTCTTGGGAAGGGCCTCACAGGACCAGACCACAATGCCATTCACAAAGATTCACAGTATATATTTGTATATAATATGTGTACTATATTGTACTATGATGTGTATATGTACATATCTATATATATAATATATATATATATGAAATATGTTATATGAGAATCAATGTATAATGTATATATTCTTTCGGTATATTTACACTACGGATATGTCCAAATTCTTATTCGTTGGTCCAACACGGTACCCAAAACAACCCAAGACTCTGACTTTGAACTTGCAATGGATCAATGGGAATTCCAGGATCCTATAAAATGGAGGTACTGTACCATATAAGGCCATATTTTGTGGGATATTCCCTTACATAGGCCTGAAAAGTAGGCCTTATATATGGTAGGTACCTCCAATTTAGGTTCCTGAAATGGCCATTGAATGGACTCCAACGCTCGCACCTTCACAGTGGCTCTCATCTGCGCTTCCAAGGGCGCTGCAGCGCGTTGCAACTGCTGCGCACGGCTCTCCCCAAGAACAGCTCCAAGATCTGGCACAGCGGGATGGGTCAGTGGATTCTAAGAACAGACGGAGGATCCGGGCCTTCAACCAAACCTGCCCATACCAGCGGCAAAGCACAGATCACGAAAGCAGCAACCTGGGCGGTGACACCGGCTGACCCCCCGCTGGTTTGCCGGAAAACCGTGGAAAATGATGGAAAACCCCAAGTGTAGCTGCAGCAAACAGCGTGTCATGCTGTGTTTGCTGAATAGCTAAGTGTTTGGCACGCATCGCGTCGCACGGGCCTGATAAGAAGCTTGACTAACGTGAGATTGAGCCAAAGACAGCTGCAGGAAGCACGCCATGGCATCTGAACACATTCACAACATGAACTCATCACTGAAATCATGTACTGTCACAATACTATGGTCACAATACTGTGACAATCGTATCACAATATATCATATATAATTTATGAGTGTATATGCAATTATCACTGCAAAATATTATAAAATAACATATTGTGATTATATCAATGTTTATGAGAGTATTTTATCACAATATATTATATATACCGTCTGGTTATGACTAACAGTTTGCCATGGAAAATGGCCCTAATCGAAATAGATGGTTTACCTATTAATAGCATGGTGATTTTCCATGGCAAACTGTTAGTCATAACCAGATCGTATCACAATATTCTGTTCATCAGAGCCTCTTCGTATGGATGCGCCAGAGCCAAGTCCTGGGATCCGAACGTTCGGCTTCAACGGCAGGGCCAAGTTCGACATACGACTCGACCAATCGCGAACTGTTTGGATATCCAGTGGATATCCAGTGGATATGAGGGTATCCAGTGGATATCCCTGGTTTTGGCATGTTTGAGCATGTTTGATTATCCCATTTCATCATCCCATCGATTCTCGGCAGATCAGATGTGCTCCTGGGGTCGATTTCCAACCCCCATGGCCGCCAGATGTGATGACAGCTCTGGTGTCTCCGCGGTCTTCCCCTGACGAAGATCAACTCACTTGAAATCAACAGTAGCTGCTTGGAAAATGGCCCATTTATAGATGGTTTACCTGGGTTTAACTGGGTTTACCTATTAAAAATGGTGATTTTCCATGGCTATGTTAAATAACCAGAGGGTATCATATTCTTTTCTATGATTGTATATCAAGATGATCAAGATGATTTTCATAGCGATTGTATATGAAGATGGTCTTTGGCAATGTGAAGTTTCATCATGCAAACGTTAAACGAATGATGACAGAAATGTGTGCCTTCAAAGTGCTAAGCACAGGACGCCACTGCCAGCAGATGCGGGTCTGATTCCAACCTGCACATGCAAAGTCTCCGGAGCTTTCTGAGCGTTTGAGGAATCAGCAAGCCTTACCCAACTATGAACCAATAGGACCAATATCAAACAAAAAGATGACATGGCAGTGTGTCAAAACCTTGTACCCCTGTAGTTCACATCAAAATAGCTGGGATTTATGGATGTTCATCCCACTAAAAATGGTATTAATAGGTATTGATCCATACCCACATCCCAAAGATTTGCTACTGTTTGGATCTTGTTTGTAAAACCCAAAACTCAATAAACAAAACATTGTACAATACATGAAACAATAAACAATGAAAATCTCCCGAAAATCCCACACACTCGTGACTCACCTTCTCCTGCGCTTCCACAAGCTTTGGCGCCAAGGGAGACTCGGACTCGTTGTGCTTCACCAGCAATCTGCGCCAAGGTCTCTGAAATGAAGTCGTCACTGGAAAGTGATCGCAGCGTTGGTCCGTGGCTGAAGATTGGCATGCTGAAATATGCTAAATGATGCTAGTTGCTAAATATGTTAAATATACATCCGTAGACTCGGTAGACCAGAATTGGTGGATTCACATTCGTCGTGTAGAGCACTCAGCCCATCTCAGCCCCGCTTCTCAGCCCGCTCAATGGCTTAAAAAGGGGGCTGGGCCTCGGAACAAAGTGCGTCCGATGGTTGTCTATGAGATGTCGCCAGCGCACCTGGTACAAAGGGGGATGCTGCGGAAAGCCCATGGCATCAGATGTTGGAACCTGTTGGAACACCCAAAAAGTTGATGGTCTGTTGAGAATCTATTGAGAATCTATTGAGTCTATGTTTTTCTATCTGCCATAACACCCAAATTCTGTGTGTGAGGCGTCTGAAAGTTATATAAGAGGTTCTGCCATGGCTATCATCAACCTCCATCCTGCTTGTTCAGCCCCAAAACCACGAATCATAGTGGATCATCCCATATCATCTTCGGAAACAAGAAAAACATTGAAAATATAGGATTATCCCATAGATTGATGATCCAAAATAGGCTATCCACTATTTTCCACTCATAGCTGGAAAATAGATCCAATGCGACCGGAGTCCGGGACGACCTGCGGCTTCGGCAATCGGCTCCCAGGTTGAGGACCGGCCGGTCCTCGCACAAAGGCGAAGGAAAGAGGGAGGAAGGGGGCATAACATGGCACAACTTCATTTTGAGTGGATGAATGAACTATTTCTATGGTTTATAATGGAAAAACCTATTATCGGCATAACCGGCATCCTTATATATCCTTACCATGAATGAATCCTGGTCACAATGAACGGCATAATCAAGAGGAATCATCAAGCATAACTGTGACGCTGATTGTGCCAAAAAAAAAGTTATAGTGAAAATTGACAGATTCGTAACAGGGGTCATGGGACATTCAAATCTGCGAGCAAGTCCAAAATCTGCTGCTTCATAGATTGTCATAGATGTTTTTCACCACGTGGCTCACTTGGAATTGATTTGCCGAAATCATGTGGTAAACGGAATCATACACCATCCCCAAGATCATGATAAATGGGTGGTATAAACCATCCCCAAATGGTAGGTTTATTCTTGGTTTCCCACATCAATGGACAACCAACAAATGTCCCTGTAATCTCCAGGCTCCCGGAAACCCAAAGTCAGAGCCTGCAGCAGGTGCTTCCTCCTCTTCTGCCACCTCCTGGTCAGAATGGATGTGGAAATACTACTCAAAAGTGAGAAGATCTGGGATTCTATCTGGACTATAAGAGGGCTTAAAACAACAGGGAAAACAATATAAACAACAGGAAAAGGATAATAAAAAAAACATCGCATAACATCTCTTAGTTTGAAATCGTCATTGGAGTTCCAAGATTCCGTGCGACACCAATACCCCAACCTTACACCACTGCTGAGGCGCCTCTCTTTGCACACCAGCAGCGGCGTCCCTGTGCAGAAAAAAAATCGCTGGATGCCATCATGACTTGCTGGAGAGAAGTTCACTCAAAAATCTGGATCATTGTGGATATTCCCTTCGGGCTCATTAAAATGAATTACCCTCTGGTTATGACTAACAGTTTGCCATGGAAAATCACCATGTTTAATAGGTAAACCATCTATTTCTATGGGCCATCTATACCATGGCTATGTTAAAAACCCACTTTGGGTAGTGGATCATTGATTCTATACTTATCAAAAAAACAAAAAAAAACAAAAACAAAAAAACCTCACTTTTGGGACTTTGGGATCTCCGGGAGTTTCGTCAAGGGCTACACCACCTGAGATGCTTATCCGCACGCTCCAAGATGTCATCAATGCTGTCCACCAGGAGATTGAAGTTTTTCAGATCCTGGTCAGCGGTCAGCGAACAGAGATTCTGATGTCTGTGTGTTTGTCCATGAATGTGGGCAAGCAACAATAAACCTACTGTTTGGGGATGGTTTATATAGTTTATACATGTTGATACCACCCATTTCTGTGTTTGATATCCCGCAGGTAAAGTGCAATTCTGACATGACATGAAGGTCTTGAAGGCATCTCTCGTTCCTTTTAAAACGATCTGCAACGCAGAACCCACACGTGGGCAGTGGGTAACCAGAGATGCCAACGGCTTTCGCCGAGCACCGAAAGCTGTACATCTCAATCGATCAGAAGGCTCACACAACACCTGGGCTTGGATGAAAGGACTTCACAGGACTTCACTGAAGTGAAACATGTGAAACCAAATAGAAAATATTAGAAAATTACATAGAGATACACAGAATGCCTTCCAGGAGACAACGAGTCATCTAGGATTTGCAGCTGTTTTAGGGATCCAGCGTATCTTTCAAAGTAGCAAATTCGCAAAACCCTCCAATCATCTCATAAGCCCATCATTACATCTTCCCGTATGGTTCTGGGTCTTATCAACCCCAAAAAATGGCTGGTTTCAGAGTTTCAGATCCTTAAAATCACCCCAAATTTACATGGCTTTGGAGGTGGGTTACCTTTATTCCATCTGATTGTTCATCATGTCTTCATGAAATGACCATTTTGGGGAGTTGTACGGTATACCCCATTCTCGAACACACCCAGATCCACTATTCTTTCCTTGAATCCCATTTAAAATTCAACCATTCCCATCACAATCCCTGAGTATTTCAATGATCAAATTTCCCGAATCCATCATAAGGGGTGATGAAAAAAATCCCAATGATCATCAATTCTCCAAGATAACATATGTTCCCATCATTTTCCCATCATTTTCCCATCACTTTCCCATATGTTCATCTTCCAAGACACCGTTCTTTTTCAGTTACTCCAGCTCTGTGTCGCTGAATCCCGCCCTGTTGAGCACCTCCTCAGTGTGTTCCCCCAGTTGCGGCGGCGCGCTGCGGTAGGAGGCCGGCGTCGCGGAGAACTTCAGCGGCGAAGCCACCAACTTGGCCGGTTTCTGGTGCCCTGCCGAGGATTTCCACTGGAGAAACTGGAGAAAATTGGTTTCATAATTAACACTATAGCATGTAATGGTTAATCCACTGTTTATCTCAGATTCTGTTGGCACTACAAATTTCGTCATCCAATAGTTATCCATGACATCCATGGTGGGTAAAATGGGGTCATTTCTCCATGGGAAATCACTGGAAATCCACTGTTTCTCTCAGATTCTGTGGGACAGTTGTTGGTACAACACATAGCCATCGATAGTCATTGTCATTCATGGTCATTCATGGTCATTCATGGTCCATATTCTATGATTCAATGGATTGGTTTAAGGGAAAATCTACAGGAAACCATGGTTTTTACCATCAAATATAGGGCTTTCCTGTAAATTTTCCCATCAATCCAATTCTATGAATGATTCTGTCCATGTTCAACCAGTGCTATGGGTTCAAAACCTCGGCACCCTCGTCACGATCCAACATAGCTCATCCTCCAAACATATGGTCGAAGAGGTCTGATGATCCATCCCGAAAATCAAGCAGCTGCCGCGCCGCTTGACCACATGATATACAGACATATAAAGATATTACTTATATATCAGTATACGTCTGTATATATATATATTATATATATATTATATATATATATATATATTATATATATATTATATATATATATTATATGTATATATAAGTATATACGGATTTATATGGGTAAAAATAGCCAGTTTAAGCAATATGATATGACAAATGATATGGGAGATTCGGCATGTGGATAAAGAATGGGTAAAGATATGCTATGCTTAAAATGTAGGGCAGTTCACAAGTTCAACGACTAGGTGACTAGTGGTTTCGCAGCGCCTTTGATGGGCATTTCGATCAGCATCTCCCTCCTTGGTACAGCGCAGGTCACCAATGGACTGGGCAACGCCATCCAAACTGCCGAGGGGCGCTTTCACATGCGGATCATCGAAGACTTCCTGCCATCATGACATTCGGCTCCGAAGAATGTTGGAGTCTCGAATTCCAGTGACTACAGTGACTACAGAATTTTGTGTTCTCAGCATTCAACGGATTTTAGTGGCGGAATTGGCACATGCTGTTTTCTCAAAAACAGACCACAGACGTGGTCTTGCCGCAGACGTCGTCAAACATCGGCCTTCAGGTTCTTGATGGGAGAGCAGCCAACGCTGGCTTTCTCCAACTCATCCAACCACCAAGCCACGGGTTTTTTCCTGCAGGAAGGCACTCATGGGGAACTCATGGGGAACAGAAGCCGGTGCCACCTGTGGTGCCTGTGGTGCACTCCTGGTGATGTCATTGCAGGTGTCCGTGACCAGCTTCCTGAGAGCCAGGAATCTGACTCTGATAGGTTACAAATGGTTATAATCTGCCAGAAATACCGCTTCCCACTTTGGGTGGGATCCATGTTGGTACTTCCAGGTCGCTTGGAAAGACGGAAGACGGCAAGAAAAACTCAGATCATATACTGCTTCGAAGTACAAGACCCTGGTGACCCTTTTAGAAGAGATGCAATCGATGCCAATTCAGTCTCCAATCGCATTCCAATCCCATTCACTGATCCAAAACCTCAAGACGTGCAAAACATTGCAAAACTATCATGTTGATAAACTCGAATAAGAAAGCTCCCCTTATCCTGCCATGTTGTTCCCCCGTTTTTGCTGGGCATTTCTTAGCCCGGGGAAAGCCACGGGCCACCAATGGCTCCACCCAGTCTCCGGTTGTCCACCCGTGCTGTCTGTGTCTTGAAGCGATCATCTTCCAACAACTTCTCAGCGTTGGCTTCTGGAGCTGCCTGGCTGATCTTAACTGATCTAAATGATAGGAGAAAACGGAGAAAATGGATGAAGATGATCGAATTTTGATGAGTTTTTGAATGAAAAGATGAGTTGGATGATCATTTTCTCATTCTCAAAATTGATCTAAAGAATCTAAAGATGAGTTGAACATCTGTAGCGTTTCACTCAAAATGGCTTACTCCCTTTTTGCCAAATGACTTTGGCAGTAAAGATAGTAAAGGGCAAAAGACTACTTAGAAAATAAAACCAATGACCAACAAATTTGAACGCAAGAGTCCATCAAAAAACGCTGGGGCGGCCATGAAACGTCTTTCAAATCAGAAGTATCATTCATGAAAACCATGTTCAAGAGTCATTGACTATAACATACTACAACCAATCGTGTTTCACCATCCAACCCTTTGGTTTTTAACTTTTCAACCCCTTGAAAAAAAACATCAGACCATCATCACACAGAAAACCCCAGCAGCGACCTTGATAGCCACCGAGATGAATCGCTCAAATGTGGGGTCGTTGCCTACGGCCAAGGTGAAGTATCCATCTGCCGCTGGCATCACCTGCCGAAGTGGCACGCCATGATATCATGGTCAGAGAAAAACTCGACATTTGGATGAACTGGAACAGAAGAACTGAGGACCGTTCACTAAATCTACTGAGAACGGAAAAACGGAGAACGACTTTAGCAGGGTAAATTGGTTTTCACAGCACGTTCCATCGTTCTTTTGAGACATCTCTGACATCGAAGCCCACCTGGTACGGAACGATGTTGGGATGTTGATTTCCCAAGCGCTTGGGCACTTCGCCTGTGGCCAAGAAATTGCTTGCTTGGTTGGCCAGCATGGAAGTGCTCACATCCAGCATGCCAATGTCCTCAATGGAGATAGGGCGATAGGGCTGGGATTCTAATCTGAAAATCACTTAGCTCAGTATGGATTTATCGTGATTTATCATCAATGTTTCATCAATCCAAACCCTCGCTTGAATTTTCATCCTCAGCATATTGGATGTCTGTCACTGTTGCCTTTTTGAAGGGCTGAAAGTCATGGACACTGAATGCAACTCCAGGACGTAATGCGTATGCTGCACTGCAAAGAGAAGGCGAAAGTAAGAGATCAAACAAAGTCATTAAGCATCCTTCACGGTATCCAAAATCTTCGAAGATGATCAAACCACAAACCCAACAGGAGTAGGACTGAGTAGGAGGACTTCACAAACCAAGCACAAGCAGCAAACTTCCCAGCACTCAATCTGCAGCCCAGCTTCAACATGTTGTCCTTCACCGGTCAGGGATGCATGTCGCAAGGCAGCCAGGATTCCAATCACACCATGTAGCCCGGCGTACAAATCTTGCACCGGCACGCCCACTTTCATGGGTTCCCCTTCGGGTTCACCGGTGACACTCATGTAGCCACCCATGGCCTGCACCAATGCATCGTAACCAGGGCGGGGGCTGTAGGGTCCTGTCTGCCCGAAGCCAGTAATGGAACAGTAGACCAAGGATGGAAACTCCTCCTTCAGGTGCCGGTAACCTGGTGCCGTCAGAAATTCATGCCACAAAAACAAGGAGATCTTTATAGATCTGTATAGTATGTTTATACATCTATATATATATTATATACATATATATATACTAAGTTACTATATGCATCTATATACTATGTACATTATGTACATTATCTATATATGTTTTACATATTTGTTGCAGACTGCAGCCATTTTCCGCGCCAAGAAACTGAGACCATACTTCTCCAGCGTACCTGCCTTGAAATTTTCGACCATGACGTCGCTGGATTTCAGCAGCCGCTTCACGATCTCCTGCAACGAAATGTTGGGAAAATGTTGGGAAAACATGGGACAACCTGGAATGAAATCCTAGATGTGAAATCCTGGGTGAAGCGCAGGAGCGCTTGAGTTTCCAAACTGATCAAGATGTTGAGTTTCAGTGAAACTCTGATTTTTCAAGATGAAATTGCCAGATCATCCAGATCCAAAATCATGGCCTTCATCCAAGCATCGCTCCTGGCCCTCAGGCTTGGTATAGTTCAGCGTCACAGAGCTTTTGTTCCGGTTCTGCGCGGCAAAGTAGGCCGCCATCGGCGCCTCACCATGGAAGTCACGGAACTTGGTCGGGGCTTGTCTCAACATTTGGAATCCTCCCAAAATCCCAGTGGTTTCCACATGTTCTCCACACGTTATCCATATGTAATCCATATGTAATCCATATTAGTGATCCATGAAAACCGCCATAAAACATAGCGGCATAACTAGCATAACTAGGCTATCCTAGGCTATCCTCCAAGCCCCACCATCTTCCACTAAGGCATAACTAGCATAACTAGGCTATCCTCCAATCCTCCAATCCATGAAAACCACCCCTTCCACCAGCCGTTCACCTCTTCGGCCCCTGGCAGGAAGGGTGGGGCAAAGCCTCGGGTGTCGTCGCCCACTTTGGGTCGCTCCAACTTGATGATCTCGGCGCCCAGATCGCCCAAGATCTGCGTGCAGCATGGTCCTGCCGGTAACGCGAGCAATAAAAACGTCAAAGAATGGGAAATCCATGGGAAATCATGGGAAATCCATGGGAAATCCATGGGAAATCCATGGGAAATCATGGGAAATCCCATATGTGTAAATGAAGAATAGTAATATATAATAATGATGTTCATGTTCAACTGAAAAAAATATGGGAAAGGCATATTCACCGATGATTCACCCGACGTGACCCGGGTCCTGCCAGCACCCTGGTCATATCCAGCACCTTGACACCTGCCAAAGGACCCAGCTTCCTGCCATCACTGGACGAGAAACCTCGCCGGAGCGGAGCCTCACAACAGCCAACGCCACCATGGATTCCATGGATTGAAGTGATTGAAGTGATTTTGTTGAACAATTCTGGAGGATACCCTGGAGGATACCCCCACATATCCGATATCCCAAAATCAGAAATCTGGATGAAATATGGCAGTGTGTCAAAACCTTGTACCCCTGTAGTTCACATCAAAATAGCTGGTAAATGGATGTTCATCCCCCTAAAAATGGTATTAATAGGTATTGATCCATACCCATATAGCAAAATTTATGGCAAATGCTGCTGTATTGCCTGTGTGTGTCAATTTGATCCGCTGTTCAATGGAAGTCTCACCTGCACCAACAGCACGCAACGACCCGCTCGCAACGCTGCAAAGCGCGAGGCCATTGATGCCATGGCGCTGAGAAGCTGAGGTGGTGGAAGACCCATAGAATCCATTAGAATCCCACATTGCTGAGGTGTTTTTTGGAAGTTCCAAGTAGAATCAAATAGAGATAATAGAGTAAGTGGATCAAAAAAAATTAGGACGTCCTCTACGACTGATGCTGAGTTTTGCACAAAGAGCCGACTGGACGAAAGACTGCCTGAGCCCTGCAGCTGGGTATCAAATGTATCAGGAAGATCCCAGTGGATGCACAAGGAGGAGCCACCCGGACCTCTGGGTTGGTGTTCTTTTGAATCGACTCCGAGAAGCTGAAAATTTGATGAGCCTTGGCACTGGTTCCCAACTGGTGAAAAAAAAATCAGGTTAGATGACTTGCAAGATCTTGGAAGTCTCAAGGTCTCGAGATCAGCCAGAATTCATGTTTGATATGTTCGTCACCTGGAAAATACAAAAACAGTAACCTCACTGATCACAGCCCTACCAACCTACGGACCTCCGGTGAAATGAACAGATTCCAACATTCTCTCAGCGCCTGACTGCCTGCAATGAACGAAATCCCAAGTCTTTGGCGGACGCCAAGAAGTCTCTCGAGCCCCTTGAGGCACGAAAATCGCCGGCTAAAGTGGAGGCGCAGAAAGATTCAACGCATCTGTATGCATCTGTTATCTGTTTGGCAAACAGAATTCTGTTTACATGTTGAATCATTTCGATGCATTGTATCCGGGTATCCCAAGGACTAGTCTTAAGACTTTAAGATATCCTAAAACCATTGGGGATCTCTGTCAGAGTTCGCTTCGTTTCCTGGCGACTTCAGGTTTGCTGGCACTCGGCATGACGCCTTCGAATGGCGTGCTCTTCCCCTTGCGGCAAGAGTTTGGAGTATCTCCTCAGCGCCCGTCGCACCGTCCACATCAGGTCATTAAATGTCCCCATTGAACATCACCCAACCATTAGGTATATGGTCTATAATGGCTACTATAAGGTGATGTCCAATATTCCCAAAATGGGACAGGTACCAACCCCTGGTACAGGTACTGAAGTAGACACACAGAATTCATATCCAGAATGACATCCACAGTTTATATTTTCATTCTCCACATTCACCTGGTTGATTCGCCACTATCCGTTTATGACGTTGGTTGGTCGCCCCAACTGCCGAACCCAGGACAGCAACCAGGGCCCCATTGAGGTCCCCAACACCAAATCCACCACCTGCGGCAGGAGCTTTTCCACAAATCCGGGTGAGAGCTGGAGCCGCTTAGACAAGGCCTGGCGCTGACACCAGCGAAAAAGCTCAGTGTTGTGGTTATTAGCCATGAATAGTAATCAATTACTTAAGTTTGATATATATTATATGTAGATATGTTATTATATAATATATACAAATTATATATATATATATGTTATATACGTATAATTTAGCACTGCTATTCAAACTGCTGCGATCTTTTACATTGACCAGACCGTCAACCCCTACGACTTTGCTCCTTTCCCCATGGTATTTGGGCCTCATCCACAGTGGTACTGGTCTGCATGACGCGGCTTAGAGAGCACGTCTGCACCCAGCAGATTCCGGATTCGGTGGATCGTGGATTCCAGTGGTCTTAGGACGGTGATGGACGGTGTGAGCTATGGATAGCCATGGGACAAACAGCCCAAGGTGAGCTAAGCCAGCTAAGCAACAACTGCGAAAAAAAGTCCAGAGCTGGGGCCCTTCTCTTGACAGCTAGCTGCTTCAGATATCTACAACGCACAAAAAATGGATGGTTGTCATGATGTCTGCTGACCTGCAACGACCTACACCTATCCTTTTGCCATGCGTGCTGCTTGTCTGAACACAGCGCCGCGGGATTTGAATGTATGGCAAGGGCAAAATGCAGCTGCAACAACAAGCTTACACAACCAGCGAGCATGGAAAACCGACTGCTATCTGTGACGGATCGTTCAATATTTTTCCTCTAGCCATGAAATCGCAATGCGTCAGGTTCTCAAGGTACAGTTCTTGCGATCTTAAATGCTGAAAGCATCGTCAAAAAGCACCACATTGAAGTCACTCAAGTCTTAAGAAATTACAAGAAACAAATGAAGCAAACAAGTTTGCCGACAGCCTAGTGCCATTGCCACTCAGCCCAGCTTCACCGTGTTCTCATCAAGGAAGGTGTAGGGAGGGAGCTCCAAGTTCTTGGGAGCAGGTCCCTGTCGCATGCGCCCTGCATAGTCATAGTGTGATCCATGGCAAGGGCAGAAGTAGCCACCGTAGTTTCCTGCATCTGGCTGGGGAATGCAGCCCAAGTGCGTGCACACGCCAATGCAAATCAACCACTCGGGTTTCTTGCAACGTTCTGCGTCTGTGGCTGGCTCACGCATGGATGGAGCAATCACATCATCCTTCCTTGCAGAGGCAATCTGCTCGGGTGTGCGCTTTCGGATGAACACGGGCTTGGAGCGCCACTTCACCGTGAAGTTCTGCCCCACCCGGATGGGGCGCAGGTCCACCTCCACGATACCAGCAGCAAACACATCTTTCGCTGGCCACAGCGTAAGGATCAGCTTGCCGGCAATTGCTCGGATGAGAGAAGCAGCAATCACAGCACTGGCTGCTGTCATGAAGTACACGAAGGGGCGGCGATCTGCATGGCCAATGGGCAGGCGGTTGGCTCGGAAGTCCAAAGCACCCTCTGGGACAGTGCTTATTGGCATTGGGGCATTCTCAGCCAAACCAACTGGTCGGAAATTCTCAGGGGAGAACTTTGCAATTGACACAATGGCAGGCTCTTTGGGATCGTGCCAAACATCCGTTCGGGTGACAGTGGCACCAGAAGCAAGCTCACCTTTCGAGATGTCTGGCTTCCTAGGGAAAGTTGGCTCACGAATGGTGTCATAGTTGGCAAACTTCAAGTCTCCCTGTCCCACAAACTGGTGAAGATCATAGGACGTCTCCATGAGCTCCGAAGTGTCATGAACAGCAGGGTGCCTCACAGCCTTCTTCACCTCCTCTTCATATTCCTTGGGGGTTTTCATAACGAACTCATTCTTGTACATGGGCTTCTCAGAGGATGGTGCCATCTCATCATTGTCACGCATCAGGTGCGTGTTGGTAGGGTGTGCAAAGCATCGCGTCTGTAGCCGGAGAACCGCGACATGTGGCCGCACCCGGAGAACCGGGGCGGAGCGTGCCAGGAGCCGCGGCAGCATCTTGGGTCACAGAGCTTCGGAAAATAGCAAGCTTCATGATAATGAACTAAGGTCAAACCCACGATTCACAGACATTCTCTGAAGGGCATAAGGTTGCATAAGTCGGCAGCACAGCTTTGGAAATCCAAACCTTTGCGGAAGACGCAGGAAAAAGGACAGGTCTCGCTCTTTTTGCCCGCAAAGCAGAGGGAAGACCGGATCACATACAAAGCATCCAGCATCCTTTCACATCTTTCACTCTGAAGCTTGAGAAATCTTGAGAATAGAAGAATCATGATGAATCATACAATTTTGTCATATTTGATCAGTATATTTCAGTATTCTATCTGCAACAATACATCACCACAATCCAGCTGCTGGTCAAAATGACACTCCTAAAGCTGTCCTGGTGATGCTTCGCATGTTCAGTGGGTCTTGTACAAAACATGCCCTACGTCAAACCGCCACTCCAAAATCTCACAATCGGGAGTGAGCATCAAATTTGGGCTTTAGCATCAAATTTGGGCTGCAAGACGATTTCCGCATGGTAATTGGCCAATCTTGGCTACTGATCATCCTAATTAATCAGGGAGCCTGATTAAGCAACAAAATCAAAATCGTCACCTGAGTCCATGGAAGTTCAGCGTCTTGACTGCAGCCGGGCCGGGCCTTGAAATTTTAGTAGATTCACATCATGTGACGTAACTGGGATGGCCTTTTGGTGTGCATCACTAAGGCCATTTCTGGGGGCCACAGACTTCTTTGGCCTAGGCTCTTGCCGAGTCTGAAATCCAAGAATCTTCCAGTTGCTGCAGTTGGATCATTTTGAATCAAATTGAATTCAAAGTTTTTCGCAGCTCCAAACTGACAAAATGAAGTACATGGTGGATTTTCAGCTCACCACGCAATACTTAACAAATAACCACTCTTTTCAGAGTAAGCTAACCCTCACACCTACATTGCAGCTGGCAGATGCTGGCAGACTGTTGAAATTCGCATGACAGAATCTCTCTAACCAAAATTGTTTAAATATGTAAAAAAAAAATCTACCTGCCAGCTTCAGTAGTTCAACATAGTCTAACATAGTTCAATTTCCTCAGTTTTCTTTCTGGTTTTCTGGTGCCTCCTGCCGAAATCTGCCAGTTGCTGCTCTTATTAATCCTTACGGATCTGCTCACGAGGACTGTCACAGGATGTCAATGTAGGGTGCCGCGATGGCATCGAAGGCTTCCCCAGATTTGGACAGCCACGCTTCGGGTGCCACATTCCTCAAGCGCACGAGGAATCTTGTGTATGAAGAACCATGAAGAACCATGAAAAACCACAAATTTTATTTGTGGATTCTTTTAAGGATTCTTTATGAGTTATCAGTTGTGGGCGAATTGGAAGTTCACAAAGTCATCAATCTACATCCATAAGTTCCGTCGCGGCAAAGATTCTGAAGGCACAGATCTGCTCCGAAGCCATCGCCGAAGCCATCGCCGAAGCCATCGCCATGGCCTTCGTCGCCGTCCGGCACAAGATCCATTCGGTCTGCCCACAGATCAACTTTTTCGATCTTGACCTTCACTTCCTCAAATTGAGCACTGACTCATGACCTTTTTGATGACCAAAAAATCCAAAAAAAAACAAAAACAAGGTGCCGGGCCCGGGCACTTGCCCAAGTTCCACTGAAACGACAAGCTGTCAAAAGAAACATCGGTTTTCGAAAAATGAAAAACCAACACTGAAGTTTTCACTTGGATTCTTGACCAAGGGATACCACATCCTCAAGGTTTTCAATGAGGCCATCCTGCGAAGGTGCGCAATGGAAGTCATCACCACCGCTATTGACCGCTATTGCCATGTCGGCTTGGAATCACTCAAACTGGCGGAACCCAAAAGAATGGGAAATATATGGAAATATGGGAAGAGTGACCTCCTTGCTTGCACAGTTTGTGTTCGAGAATAAATGAAACAGTTCCTGTTCATGGACATCAAACCAAGCCGAAACAGATTCACAGAAAGTCACTGGATATGCACAGATTGCACTGTATTGCATCGAAACATCCACAGTCGATGTTCCATTACCGTTTTGCAGAACAGGCCCCAGGATCCCAAGGCCACAGTCCTTGATCTTGGATTTGTGAACCAAACCATCTGCGAACGCGCCGCTGTCCAAAGTGACCGTCACAAAAACCCCAAAGGGCACGATGCGCGACACCACTCCGGCGCGACACTCGCCTTCGAGATCTGCGAAGGGTCTCAAGTCTTTGGCAACGCCTTGGCGAAAAACAACGCCCCTGGCGTTTCGAGCGCGTGCCCCAACCACTCAAAAAACGGAAGGGTGCCAATTAAGAAAAAAAACTCCAATAAAAGGCACGCCCCTTCTTCAAAATCTGTGGTTACCAAACTTGCCAAACAAGTCCGCTTCAAAACTTCAAGGTGCAAAACAAATTGGAATTTGTGCCCGCCTGTCAAGCCTTCCACCATGGTCAAGCTGAATTTGTGCTCCTCTTCTTTGATTTCTGTAACCCACACGTCCACCTCCAGGGCGCATTTCCAGGGTGCGGGGCAATGCGGCAACGAGGCAAATACTCGTTGCAACTTACCCAGTCAGGACCACTTGAGTCATGCACAAACGAACAGAGTGAGTGAGGCGCATGAAAAGTTCATGTGCACAGCAAGTTCATAACCCCAAACGCATCAAACCACACTCTCCCACAAAAACACACCTTGCGTGCTCAATTAGCTCAAATGTTTCCAGGGATCAAATAGGCCCCCGTTTTTACACGGAGAGTTCTGTAGTTCGGTAGTTCGGTAGTTCTAAAGGTCCTTGCTCAGCGGTCAGGGACCGACATCAGGTATCGGTCCTATCCTTGGCTGCGGCGCAATGATGATGATCACCTTACTGAATCCTCTAAATCCCCATGGAGAATATCACTTCCAAGCCATTCATCAGTCCATGTTTAGGGTTTCCTGTTAACAAAAAAAAACGTTCAACCAGCCTGTTAACAAAACTTGGATGTTCCAATGAATCCCAGAAAGAAAGCCTAGTGAATGAGCAAACCTCCAAATCTCAGTAAATCAGCTAGAATGAAACTGAGCACCCAGACTGATTCTTGTTTTATATAACCCAAGCTAGGTATGTATCCTAGCTTGGATTGTCCAAGAATGTGGTATCCCAAACTCCACTGGTTGATGATATTGTCCTTCGTTTAAAAAATATGTAACCCATCCAGGGGATTCCCCGCAATGCCCACTGACAAACAGGCGATCATAACAGGATGTATATGGGGGGGGGTGCTAAAATGGGGGGGTACCTCTAAATCATCTATAGTTTTATAAGATTCTCCCTTTTTCCTTATAAACGGAATCCAGCTATTGGGGTACCCCCATTTATGATATTTATGGAAACCCCCATATACCTTTGCATACCATCAAACATTTATCCTATATATCCCTAGACGATAACCGGCCACTGTGCTGCGGAGCTGCCATGATGTCGTGCGACCTGCGCTGGGTTTGTCGTGATGAGATATGGGATGTGCATCCCAGCTATGTAACTGCTTTATATCAATGGATTGGTTTTCACGGGAAAATCGGAACCGGAAACCAGAGTTATTTTCCCATTCAATATGGGGCTTTCCTGTAAAATTTCCCTTAAACCAATCCATTGATTATAATCATGTGGAATCCACGTACTAAGTCAAAGATATCAACTATAAATGATGTCAATTGATTGCAATTATAAACACTATAGTGCTGGCGTTGTAAACCAACAAATAGGCACTGCTAAACTAAATCAAAGCCTCCCTAGCCCATTGAAAAATAGATACGTCATTCAGCACCGAAAACCCACAATTTATAAATCGTTTCCTAATGTTTCCTAGGAAAAAAGAACGCGGCTTTTTCATTTCTCAATGGGTTGGTTCGCAGGGGAAGACCGAAGAAGACCGAAAGGAAACCGTTGTTTTGGACAAATACAAGGGCTTCCAACAGATTTTCCCTTCAAATAATGTTGATTGAATGATGGCAACCTCATGTAACGTGTGTGAAAGCCTTCCATGTTGGTCCTGCCTCCTCTTGCGTCGTCTGCTCAGCAGAAAACAGGGCTATGCCGCACTCCATGCGAGGCAGAGGCCAGCACCGGAGACAAAGCGACGGGGCAAGACCACGGTTAGACTGGGACAAGACCCAGGTGAGACATGGAAAGACCGAAAGACCATAAGCCCTTGCCCCCCAGACCAAGAGGAAATCCCTCGTCACAAGTCTCACAAGCCGCACCTGCTGCCCTTCATACAGCACATCATTGACGCAGTCAATGGCTTCCAGAGAGATGCGAGTTTGGTGCAGCAAACCCAAGTGGGTCCCGACATCCACAAAGGCTCCATAGCTGACCACGAAGCGAACCAGGCCCTGATACTTCCTGGGCTCCATGTGACTCGCTGAAATTTAAGGAGCTTCAGATATCCAATGATGTTGCAGCTGGTCTAACACATGGCAGTGTGTCAAAACCTTGTACCCCTGTAGTTCACATCAAAATAGCTGGGATTGATGGATGTTCATCCCACTAAAAATGGTATTTTTATAGGTATTGATCCATACCCACATGGTGACAAGTGTCTTTCCCACTTCGAGTTCCTCGAAGGGGATCGCAGGGCCCCGCACCTCCTGCCAAGATCTTCCAAGTGCTGCTGTCAGTCACATCTGGCATGAAATCCTGGAAATTCCCAGCCTCACTTCATCCTTCATTGGTTTCAACATGGGTGTGGGTCAAAATTAGGTACCTCAATAATTGGATGGTTAATACTAAACTGAACTAACATCTGTGGTCCCCTAGGTCTTCCATTTTGACCCACATCCACATGACCACGAAGGAACCCTATGAGAAAAATGAGAAAAATGGCTCCCAAGCCAGCCCTGTCGAACCCTCGCCTCGAGCAAACGCATGCGCTGTTTGTCGACTCGCCGCTCCATGTGAGTCATCCAAGAGGAGCGATCGTAGTTGTGGTAGTGCACCTCACAACCGGTCACGACTGCCACATCACTAAATCGGTACCTTTTTTGTCAGTTGAACCAACTGCTAAAAACAGCAGAAGAATCGGGAAATGATGGAAATGAACATTAGATTAGATATCGAAATACATGGGGAATTCATGGGGAATTCATGGAGAATTCATGTGAGTAGTTAGCTTCGCCAAGAAACCGTATAGCTTCCATCCTCGTGGACGCCAACCACACGGCCCACGTGCCAAGCATCACCTGCAGTGCTCCAGAGTGGAATTGTCATCTCCACCAGGGTACTTCATTTCCAGTTGCTAAAGCTATTTACGACTTATCAATACTAATTCAATAATACTTCTTAAATAATACTTATATAATAACAGATAATACTTATTACATAATACTTATTAAATAATACTTATAACTTGTAATATCTGTTAAATCCCATTTCGACAATAAATCACCCCATGAAAACCGTATTGGAACCACTCTTCCATGGCACCTTCCTTGGGCCATTGCACTTCCACAGCGGTGTCGATGGCCCAGCAGCTCACAGCAACTTGAGGATTTTTCACTGTATCCAACAGACCTGGAAGATTGGAAGATTGGAATTTTGAACATCATCAAGTGAACAATACAACATGATTGGTATCATCATCCAACATGATTGGTATCATCATCCAACATGATTGGTATCATCATCCAACATGTGGTATCATCCAACATCATTCATGGTTTTGTCTGATGTGGTATCTCTAAATCCAGTGGTGAATGATCATCATCCCTATTTAAATGATTTTAAAGGCTATAACTGGGGTGTATATACCATTTTCAAACACACCAACATGATACATTGTGATTTCCTACTAACCTTCATAACCAACATAATGATCATTTGCTGAAGATTGGGACTTCCAAATCAAACACTTAGAAAGTGAAGTGAAAAAAACACAGTGAACCATGTAGATCCCAGAGAAACAATAATAAACTTCCAATTTTGAGGACAGGGATGATTTATTGTTGGACGCATCGACGCATCCGGCCTGGCTGTTGTTTCATCAAGCTTTCTGCGCAGGAGCGCCATGCTGAAATGGAAGTGATTGCAATGCCACGAACATGTTGGAAGGATCCTAAGGCAGAAATCAAGATGAAGGTTTCCCAAAATGCTACCCCCATTGATGAAAAAAAAACAACCAATGAATTTTTCGTCTCATCTGATCACCATCTCCAACTCACTGGATACTCTGAAGGATTTGTGAAACAAGTGAGTCACAAAACATGAATCTCCAATGGATCTGTGTGGATCTGGCAGCAAATACACCACTGATCCGTTGGATGTTCCAAGCATCTCTCCACGAAATCACTGACATCCTTTGTGGTGCCATTCTCGCAGTTCAAAAAGATCCGTCCCGATTCGTCCCGGTGACAATGGAATTGACAACAGTCATCCTCACCGGTGACCCACATGTTGTAAGAGGCAAATTGGGAGATCATCATTTCCGCAAACCTGCGCCACAAAAAGGGACGAAGAGTCCTAGTTGACAAGAAATCTAGGATGATTTTTGGAAGATACACTTAAATGCAGATGTTTGCGCTCTTGCCAATCGGCACAAAGAAAAGACACAACTAGAATAACATGCACTCCTTTTTCAATCAGCACAAGGAACTTACTTAGACCTTTGTGTTTCAAAAAACAGCGGTCAGAAACCTCGAGACCCAATACACTCGGGTGGTATCCCCAACAAGACTGGTTCAGCACCTTTTTGGACGTGAAGCCTTACCGGAACCATCCGGAACCCGCACCAGAATGCCTGGGAACCCTACTCTCCATAAGCGGAACCTGACTTTGAGGTACACCACAAAACCTGGAACCTGCATCTGTTAACGGGTGACTTTGCGCTTAGCCGCTTTTCACAAATTTCTGAATTGTCCCCGCATTGACAAAACCAATGTTTTCACCACACCACGATCACACCGGATCAGCAGAAAATCTGGAGATCCCAATGGCCCAAGCCTCTCGTTGTCCATCTCAGATGTCTCTTCGCCAGGTCTGCTCAGCCTACCAGCCAATCAAACCATATCAAGCCATATCAAGCCATGCATTTTCGAGAAGAATTTGGAGCCATCCCCATTTTTAAATCAACATATTAATCAACATATTCATCAACATATATCCAACATATATCAGCATATGTCAACATATATCAACATATATCAACATATTAATCAACATATATCAACCATCTCACGCAAAACTCCACGGCCACTTCTCAGTGCAGGCACAGCATGTGCCAATACTTCAACTCTCCACTGAAATGGATCAGTTTGATCTCCTCAGGCGGTTGATGAACCACTGGTTACCCCGGTTGGATTAGGGGAAAATCAACCCTGCTTGGCTGCTTTCATATGCCACTAAAATATGATATCTCCACTAAAATCAATTAAACATCCTTGATCTGACATTGGTGATGGACAAAAACTATCCTGCTTGGGTTGGCTTCACGCTGGCTCCTCTGGGTCAATGTTCAGCCGCCGTGGTTTCCACTCTTCCTGGTACTCTGGATCACGCGAAGTGTGCTCAATGACCTTGCAGGCTTGCACACAAGACAGGATGGACAAAACATGACAATGTAATCTTAACATATCTTAACAACTTCTGTCAATTGTCACATAAATTTCGACTGTTGTATCATATGTGACACGCTGTGTGAATCATTTGGATAGTGCGAACTCTGATGCAAACCTCATCAAGCCTGTTGCTTCCTAAAATGCTGTAGTCCCACCTTTTCCAATGCGAAGGGAACATGGTGCAACTGAAAATTGTACGAGACGTCGATGTGGCGCCAAGGATTCTTCAGATCTGCCTCATCTGCTTCTGCAAAATATGTGCATTAAGTTAATTTATTGGTGTTATTTGCATGATATTCAGCTGATATTCTTGACAAAACGAATGTGGTATTGCAGGAATCCAATTTGATGTGACCCATCTCAGTGACCGACTGCAAAGAATCGTGTGAGGTAGTCCTCAGTGCGAGCAAACTGAGGAAACACTTTTCATACAGCAAATGCATAGCAAATGTCAACGAAATCAAACTGTTCTCAAGATGATCTCACCGAAAGTCAAAAGATGGGCTGATGCATTGACATACATGAGACCGGAAACATCTCAGCCAACTCGGCCAAGAAATACGAACATTGAGATGTTTGGATTGTCAAAAAAAAGAGGGGACCAACGAGAAACAAACCAAGTTGAACTCCCCAACATCAAGAATCGATGTGCGCACTTTCTATCCGTGCGACTTGAGCCAAGGTAGTTACAGAGGCGACTATGTTGAACCCGCTGGATTAAAGTGGGGACAACGCTTCCTATGCTATACAATGGCCCTACCTACAGCTAACGCTTCTAGCTACAGGTTGTCTCTGTTATGACTGTACAACACTATCGGGGGTTGGATTCATCGCTACAACTGCTACCGCATAAGGTGAATTAATATAGACTATACATGCGGGGCTAATTGGGTCGTAATATTTCTACTCCTCCCTACCCAGTCCCACTCTTGGAGATGCCTACGCTAAGACTACTTGGGGCGCGTTGGCGCTGCCCCTTCCGTCTTTGGCTTGAGCTCGCTTTGGAGGTCAGTTCGGATGCCTAGGAGGCGGAGAGCTGGCCCCCATTTTTGCGGCGGTAGTGCCTTTGTGAAGATATCCGCAGCCTGGTCATCTGTCTTACAATACTCCAACTTGGCAGAGTCGTCTTGGAAGGCTTCTGAGAGACCGGACATGTTTATCTTATGGGTGCTAGCAATGTGTCGGAGTTTTGAGGGGTATCCTTTACGGACCACCAGGATGGTGGCTTGATTATCCTCAAGAACTTTTAAGACAACACTACGTCCTAAGAGCAATTCCCAAAGTTGCAGTGCCTGAAGGCCTTCTTGGTAAAGGGAATGAGCAAGAGGTACAACTTCAGATTCCGTTGTGGATCGAGAGGTTGATGTCTGTCTTTTACTCACCCAGGCTAAGGGGAAAAACGTATTGGGGTCGTACAAGATTAGGAACACCCCTGAAGTAGACTTTGCAGATAAGCGAGCTCCTGCGAAATCAGCGTCTACGTAAAGCCTAAGCCCTAGCTGTTCAGGGCTATCGTTTATGGTTCCAACCAAACGGTGGTGGGGTGTTGAATCAATGTACTGTATAAGCCTTAACAAACGTTTATCGTCTCCCTTAGACCAAGACTGAACGGTGGCTAAATCGTTGGTTGGTTTAATTATACCGGGTCTAGACAGTCGGCTTGGCCTTCATGAGACCGCATGTTTTAGGTTGTGTCTGTACACTTTCGACAAACAATGAAATGCCATATTCTGGGAATACCAATTCTTGCGACCAGATCGATCCATAGCCGCGAACGAAAGGATCTCCAAGCAAGTGGATGACCGAAATCACATAAACGAATTTGCAAACACCATCCATAAGAACTTACACAGGGTGTATATACTTGAATTACAAAAGGAAATGTACGACTGTGTTCTTGAAGACAAACATGGGGGATGTGTTGATCTCAATTGCATTTCACCTTGGAATGTTGCTTGCAAAACCCTAGGAACATCTCGTCATCCATGGTCCCAAACCCTTGCGCCTGCTCAGGGCCATTGCCAGCAATGTGCGCTGGATGGTTTTCGCTGGTGACCTCCTTAAGCATCTGTTGGAAGACAATTTCCGACGGCCGCAGCAGAATGACACCGGCATTGATGCCTGGCAACCGCAACGCCACGTCGTCCGTGCCTTGTTGGTGCGTTCCACTTTCCGGGCCAACGCTAAACCCTAAACCCTAAAACCCTAAAACCCTAAAACCCTGAACCCTCAAATTTTAGGTGGCTTGCGCCAAGTGTGCGCCACGAAGGGTCTTCTTGGTCACCCGTTGATTGAACATGTGGTGTTTTTCAATGCTTTGCTTCAGCCTTAAAATCCGTTGACCCTAAAATCCTTTAACCCTAAAACTCTTCAACCCTAACAACATTTGACCCTAACAACATTTAACCTTAAAATCCTTCAACCCTAAAATCATCTAACCCTAAAACGCTTTTACCCTAACAACATTTGACCCTAACAACATTTCACCCTAACGGCATTTAACCCTAAAATCCTTTAACCGTAAAATCCTTTAACCCTAAAACCTTAAGGCTTAAGGTCACAAGCAAAAGAAAAAGGTCTGCCAGTGCTGCTTTGGGCCCAAAACAGAACCACGGGAGGAGAAAAAGATCCCCCAGTGCTGCTTTGGGCCTCACAGTGCTGCTTTCAGCCAAAAACACAACCACAGGAGGAGAAAAAGGTTTCCCAGTGCTGCTTTGAGCCAAAAACAGAACCACAGGAGGAGAAAAAAGTCACCCAGTGGAGTTAAGGCTTAGGGTCTCAAGCAGGAGAAAAAAGTTTCCCAGTGCTGCTTTGAGCCCAAAAAAAAACACAGAAAAAGAAAAAGGCCTCCGAGTGCTGCTTTGGCCCAAAAACAACACCACAGGAGGCGAAAAAGGTCTCCCAGTGGAGTTAAGGCTTAGGGTCCCAAGGAGGAGAAAAAGGTTTCCCAGTGCTGCTTTGAGCCAAAAAAAGAACCACAGGGGGAAAAAAATGTTTCCCAGTGCTGCTTTGAGCCAAAAAAAGAACCACAGGAGGAGAAAAAGGTCACCCAGAGGAGGAGAAAAAGGTCACCCAGTGGAGTTAAGGCTTAGGGTCCCAAGGAGGAGAAAAATGTTTCCCAGTGCTGCTTTGAGCCAAAAAAAGAACCACAGGAGCAGAAAAAGGTTTCCCAGTGCTGCTTCGAGCCAAAAACAGAACCACAGGAGGAGAAAAATGTTTCCCAGTGGAGTTAAAGCTTAGGGTCTCAAGCAGGAGAAAAAAGTTTCCCAGTGCTGCTTTGAGCCAAAAATAGAACCACAGGAAGAGAAAAAAGGTTTCCCAGTGCTGCTTTGAGCCAAAAACAGAACCACCGGATGAGAAAAAGGTTTCCCAGTTTAGTTAAGGCTTAGGGTCTCAAGCAGGAGAAAAATGTTTCCCAGTGCTGCTTTGAGCCAAAAAACAACACCACAGGAGGAGAAAAAAGTGTCCCAGTGCTGCTTTGGGCCAAAAATAACACCACAAGAGGAGAAAAAGGTGCCCCAGTGGAGGAGGAGAAAAGGTTTCCCAGTGCTGCTTTGAGCCAAAAATGGAACCACAGGAGGAGAAAAAGGTTTCCCAGTGCTGCTTTGAGCCGAAAACAGAACCACAGGAGGAGAAAAAGGTTTCCCAGTGGAGGAGGAGAAAAAGGTTTCCCAGTGCTGCTTTGAGCCAAAAATAGAACCACAGGATGAGAAAAATGTTTCTCAGTGCTGCTTGGCCCCAAAACAAGACCACAGGAGGAGAAAAAGGTCTCCCAGTGGAGTTAAGGCTTAGGGTCTCAAGGAGGAGAAAAAGGTTTCCCAGTGCTGCTTTGGGCCCAAAAACAACACCACATGAGGAAAAGGTGTCCCAGTGCTGCTTTGGGACAAAAACAACACCACAGGAGGAGAAAAAGGTGTCCCAGTGGAGGAGGAGACAAAGGTTTCCCAGTGCTGCTTTGAGCCAAAAACAAAACCACAGGAGGAGAAAAAGGTTTCCCAGTGCTGCTTTGAGCCAAAAACAGAACCACAGGAGGAGAAAAAGGTTTCCCAGTGGAGGAGGAGAAAAAGGTTTCCCAGTGCTGCATTGAGCAAAAACAGAACCACAGGAGGAGAAAAAGGTTTCCCAGTGCTGCTTTGAGCCAAAAATAGAACCACAGGAGGAGAAAAAGGTCACCCAGAGGAGGAGAAAAAGGTCACCCAGTGGAGTTAAGGCTTAGGGTCCCAAGGAGGAGAAAAAAGTTTCCCAGTGCTGCTTTGAGCCAAAAATAGAACCACAGGAGCAGAAAAAATGTTTCCCAGTGCTGCTTTGAGCCAAAAACAGAACCACCGGATGAGAAAAAGGTTTCCCAGTTTAGTTAAGGCTTAGGGTCTCAAGCAGGAGAAAAATGTTTCCCAGTGCTGCTTTGAGCCAAAAAACAACACCACAGGAGGAGAAAAAGGTGTCCCAGTGCTGCTTTGGGCCAAAAACAACACCACAGGAGGAGAAAAAAGTCACCCAGTGGAGTTAAGGCTTACGGTCTCAAGGAGGAGAAACAGGTTTCCCAGTGCTTCTTTGGGCCAAAAACAAAACCACAGGAGGAGAAAAAGGTTTCCCAGTGCTGCTTTGAGCCAAAAATACAACCACAGGAGGAGAAACAGGTTTGCCAGTGGAGGAGTTTCCCAGTGCTGCATTGAGCCAAAAACAGAACCACAGGAGGAGAAAAAGGTTTCCCAGTGCTGCTTTGAGCCAAAAACAGAACCACAGGAGGAGAAAAAGGTTTCCCAGTGGAGGAGGAGAAACGGTTTCCCAGTGCTGCTTTGGGCCAAAAACAAAACCACAGGAGGAGAAAAAGCTCTCCCAGTGCTGCATTGGCCCCAAAACAAGACCACAGGAGGAGAAAAAGGTCTCCCAGTGGAGTTAAGGCTTAGGGCTCAAGGAGGAGAAAAAGGTTTCCCAGTGCTGCTTTGAGCCAAAATCAGAACCACAGAAGGAGAAAAAGGTTTCCCTGTGGAGTTTTAAGGACTTAAGGCTTAGGGCGCCTGTTTAAATCAGTATTGTTAATCCCAGGTTTTGGCTAGGGCGACCCTTCGTGTCGGACCCTAAACCCTAAACCCTAAACCTCAAACCCTTAACCAATCAGACCAATACTCAGATGTAACATTATGTTTCACCAAGTTGAAACCCTGTGCGCGGTATGCTGATCCGATCTCTTGGTCTGTGCCAGTGGGTGTCACACGGCTAAACCCTAAACCCTCAACCCTAACTTTCCGAATCCGCCTATTTCTCGGATACAGCAAGAGAAATGACCCCCTAACTTACCTCAAACCATGGACACCGTGGCCTGCAAACGTCACCGACAAATACCCTCCGGTAGTCAAATGTAGCCATGAACCCCAGACCCCAAAGTCATGAACACTGGGTATGTCTGAAAATACCCCTAAACCCAATGGTTTTGCTGATCATTATCCCTATTAAATGGCTATTTGTTTGGGAATATACCTTTTTTTCAGACAAACCCACTAGACCCCTGACCCGAGGTATCCCAGCTGATGGGCGATGGACCTCCAGCCTGTTGCCAAGCTCGTTCTGCCCAGCTCCCATCCAAGAAGAATGACCCTGGGAAAGCCCCAAAAATGGGTCGAAAGTAGGCTACCGTTGGGACATGATATAACCATTTTATGGGAATATATGGGGATAAATATGGGGATAGATAGATTGGTAGATTGGTAGATTGGTAGATAGATAGATAGATAGATAGATAAATAGATAGATAGATAGATAGATTAATTAGATAGATAGATTAAATAGATAGATAGATTAAATAGATAGATAGATTAAATAGATAGATAGATTGAATAGATATATATTAAATAGATAGATAGATTAAATAGATAGATAGATTAATTAGATAGATAGATTAATTAGATAGATAGATTAATTAGGTAGATAGATTAATTAGACAGATAGATTACTTAGATAGATAGATTACTTAGATAGATAGATTAATTAGATAGATAGATTAATTAGACAGATAGATTACTTAGATAGATAGATTACTTAGATAGATAGATTAATTAGATAGATAGATTAAATAGATAGATAGATTAAATAGATAGATAGATTAAATAGATAGATAGATTGAATAGATATATATTAAATAGATAGATAGATTAATTAGATAGATAGATTAATTAGACAGATAGACTACTTAGATAGATAGATTACTTAGATAGATAGATTAATTAGATAGATAGATTAAATAGATAGATAGATTAAATAGATAGATAGATTAAATAGATAGATAGATTGAATAGATATATATTAAATAGATAGATAGATTAAATAGATAGATAGATTAATTAGATAGATAGATTAAATAGATAGATAGATTAAATAGATAGATAGATTAAATAGATAGATAGATTAAATAGATAGATAGATTAATTAGATAGATAGATAGATAGATAGATTAAATAGATAGATAGATTAGATAGATAGATAGATAGATAGATAAGATTAGATTAGATTAGATTAGATTAGATTAGATTAGATTGATAGACAGATAGATAGATAGATAGATAGATTAAATAGATTAAATAGATAGATAGATTAAATCCGCCCACACCGCTTTGGCGGTGATAGCTTGGGGAGCCCTTATGGGGGGGAAAAGTGAAAATTCCCTAGCTTGGGGAGCCCCCACAGGGGGGGAAAAGTGAAAATTCCCTAGCTTGGGGAGCGAAAATTCCCTAGCTTGGGGAGCCCCCACGGGGGGGGAAAGTGAAAATTCCCTGGCTTGGGGAGCCCCCACGGGGGGGGAAAGTGAAAATTCTTAGCTTGGGGAGCCCCCACGGGGGAAAACCACCCTTAGCCCCTCTCACGGACCGAAATAAACCTGCGGTGTGGGCGGCCACCCCACGCAAAGCGGGGTGAATAGATAGATAGATAGATTGAATAGATAGATAGATTAAATAGATAGATAGATTGAATAGATAGATAGATTAAATAGATAGATAGATTAAACGAGATTCCCTTAGATAGATTGAATAGATATACGCTCCTTTAATATTTGTGATTTCTAATACGATAGATAGATTAAATAGTAGATATATTAAATGATAGATAGCTTAAATAGATAGATAGTTAAATAGTTCTTTGTGTTCCCTAGTTATAGTTTTTTTTTTTTTTCCCCCGCGCTATTAGGATAACATCGCTAGCGATAGCATTAAATCCATTTTTTAGGTGCTCTTAGCTATGCTTCACCCTGCCAAAATAGCACTGTAGATTAGATAGAGTTCAATATAGGATAGATAGAGTCTATTAATAGATAGATCCTAGATTAATTAGCATAGATAGATGAATTAGATAGATTAGATTACTTAGGTAGATAGATTAATTATTTAGACCTTGATTTCACGCGGCTACTTACCCCCCCCCCCCCGATAGATAGATTATTCATTACTGTATAGAATTTTTTTGATTTAATTAGGAGATTAGATTTTTATGGTAAATATGACCACCCCGCCTAGATTACATCTACCCTAATTAGAATAGATTACACACCGCACCGATAGATGACGATTGAATAGATTATATCTTAAATAGATAGATAGATTAATTTCTCAGCACTGATCTTGAGCCCTTTTTTTTGTATTGATTAAAATTGATATTGTATGTATCGATTAAATAGATAGATAGATTAAATAGATAGATAGATTAAATAGATAGATAGATTAAATAGATAGATAGATTAAATAGATAGATAGATTGAATAGATATAAATTAAATAGATAGATAGATTAAATAGATAGATAGATTAAATAGATAGATAGATTAAATAGATAGATTAAATAGATAGATAGATTAAATAGATAGATAGAAAAAATAGATAGATAGATTAAATAGATAGATAGATAGATAGATTAATTAGATAGATAGATAGATAGATTAGATAGATAGATAGATAGATAGATAGATAGATAGACAGATAGATAGATAGATAGATTAAATAGATAGATAGATTAAATAGATTAAATAGATAGATAGATTGAATAGATAGATAGATTAAATAGATAGATAGATTAAATAGATAGATAGATTGAATAGATAGATAGATTAAATAGATAGATAGATTGAATAGATATATATTAAATAGATAGATAGATTAAATAGATAGATATATTAAATAGATAGATAGATTAAATAGATAGATAGATTGAATAGATATAAATTAAATAGATAGATTAAATAGATCGATAGATTAAATAGATAGATAGATTAAATAGATAGATAGATTAAATAGATAGATAGATTAATTAGATAGATAGATTAATTAGATAGATAGATTAATTAGGTAGATAGATTAATTAGACAGATAGATTACTTAGATAGATAGATTACTTAGATAGATAGATTAATTAGATAGATAGATTAATTAGATAGATAGATTAATTAGATAGATAGATTAATTAGATAGATAGATTAATTAGATAGATAAATAGATAGATAGATAGATGGATGGATGGATAGATAGATAGATAGATGGATTACATAGATTAGATAGATTAGATAGATTACATAGATTACATAGATTAGATAGATTACATAGATTACATAGATTAGATAGATTATAGATTAGATATGTATGTTTATATATATATATACAAATTGTATATTCTGATATTGGGATAGTACTGTGGATTTAATGGGATGGCTTGAAATTTACTACCAAAAGTAGAAGAAGATCTGTGGGAACCCAAAAACATTGACCCAGTTTGACTGGGAAACATCCAGTTAGACTCTTACCATTTCCTGCTCCAAGATTATTTGTTTGTTACAAGCAGGAAATGCTAAGAGTCTAAAATTGTATACAATTGGATATATCCTGCTGAGATGTATATGTTACAATTTGGGATTATCAACAGATATACAAATTCTTACATATCAATGATCCCAAATCCTCTCATTAGTTCTCATCACTGGGCTCAGAGGACCCCCTTCATCCAATTGGCTTTTGCGGGTATCCCCCAAACAAACCCATCTTGTCCATATCATAGTGTGAAATATCCCACAACATCCCATCATATGGGTATGGGTCAAAATTAGGTACCCCAATAATTGGATGGTTTATACTAAACTAGACTAACATCTGTGGTCCCCTAGGTCTTCCATTTTGACCCACATCCATATATATCCCCATTTTAGCTTCCAATACATCGCCTTGAATCCCCAACAAAGTCCCATCAGATGCCATGTTTTTCGTAATCGCAAAATGATCAGATCCCCATTCAACTCCCTGAAATCCCAAAAAAATCCCCATTGGGATTTATGTCCCCATTGAACCCCCTTAAATCCCCTTAAATACCAAATATATCCCCATTAAGACAGCCATAAAATGGTGTGTGTTTCTCCACATCACAAAATCCCAGGAAAAATGCCACGTCACGTCCATCGATCACCTCCCCATGCTCAGTGCTGCCATTGCCACGAATCTCAGTTCATAGCGAAACAAATTGGGAAAGAGGAACTAAACTATGATAAAAATATGGTAAAATGTTAGCAAAATATGGTAAACATATGGTAAAACCACAACTTTTGACCCCCCAGGTGGCAATCATTCGCCGCTTGGAGATGCTTGGAGCAACAGAGGGTTCGTGAGAACAAAGCCTTCTGTCAAGACTCAAGAGCTCAATGCCCGCATCTTCATCTAAGTTTAAAACCTCCACAAAGCCTGCTACCAAATATCTCAAACTCCATTTATTAACATTACACTTGTTATTTCCACATGTGAGTCTTACAAGTCTTCCAAAAAAAAGACTTTGCACCATGGCAATTCCAGGAACTCTTGCCAGAGTCCAAAGATAACATCAGCCCAGCTGCGAAAGCTGCTGGAGCTTCCAAATTGAAGAGTTCATGCAGTGACTTCAAAGGAAAGGTATCGATGTCCAGCAGCAGAACCTTCTCGTACTGGACCTCGGATTCCAAGGGATTCCAAGTGGACCACAGCAAACGAATTATGGCTTAAATTCAGCGGGAAAAGAACAGGACCAGCGAATTATGTTGTTCATCTTCCACCGATTTCATCACCAGAGATTTTATGTTTCCATCTCTTCACTCTATAACCGTTTGGGTTTAAAATGGTTTAAACTATTGGACTTGATGATTTGTCCATTGCCATTAAAACCATCTCTCGCTGATTTGCTGAGTTCTGGGCCAAGTTCCATGCCTCGACTGCGCAATGTGCAAAGCTCTGAGCAAACAACCACAACCAGCAGTATCATGATTTAAACTAGATCAGCTTTCATCATTCTAACAAAGATACACTACTGGTTTTGGTTTTCATCATTCTTGCATTCTTTTTTGACTTTCAAAGAGTTTCACATTGATCTGGCCTTCAAAGTTTCCACTTCCAACTGTTCCAACTTCCCTCATTGGCTCCAAGTAGCACTGAGTTTGGTGAAGACCCCATCGAAGCGAGTGCCTTTGGTGGTGTACAGCGCTGCCACCCCATCGATGTACTCGGTCTGCTGCAGCGTCCAAATCTGACCCAACTCCCGAAGATAGTTCTCCGGGACATCCTTGGTCCAGTTGAAAGCATCTTTCCATACATATACATATATATATATATATGCAGATGTAAATTCATAAATATGTATGTATGTATGTATATATATATATATACATGAATATGATGTTGAAGGTACTTGTGACATCTTGTTACTATGATGAGAAGGAACTATATTCTTATTGTTGGGGGGGTGGTATCCTCACCATCTGCTGTCAGATCCGTCAGTGTCACAGTGGGTCACAATTCTCAATGTGCCAAGCATCGTCAGTGTGCATCAGCACCAGATCTGCTTCTTCACCTGGCGCACCATGACCCCTATGAAAGATGATATTGTTTCGCTTGGCAACTGAATCTTCAACATCTTCAACAAAGTCAAAAAGTATTGAAGAATGGGGCTGTATCATCCAGCTTTCAAGTGCACAATTCACTGAACACTTCAGGCCTGATTCCCTCTGGAGCTCCTGAACCAATGGCTCATGGCTGGATCTATGTCTGTTTGTCCAACAAAATTGGGAAACCCCCAAGAAAACAGTGATTGATCAAAAAGAACAGTGGTTTGATGATGACTTTGTCCCTCAAATTGCATCTTATATTTAGGATATATAGGTCTACCGATCTACCGATCTATGCCTCTGCAGCCATAACTCCAACGACCATTAAAACATCCAGTCCAGTCCTTCAACCGGGCTCCCAGGACAGCTGCCCCCAGAGCATAGCCCGGATTAGTGCCCCACATCACACAGGTGTAGGCGTAGCGAGCGTAGCGAGGATGGGAAGTCGAAGCCGAGCCTGCCACTTCGCGACTTGGCTCCAGCTGCTCTGTGTATGACTTTTTTGGTTCCAAAAACTGAGATCAGACAGGGGAAAATGATGATTTGATCGAAAATGCCTGCAATCTCACAGTAACAATGTGACATAGGAGAGCTATATGGAGACCTGATGATGCCAGTAAAAAAAAACTAAAACGATAAAGCATCAAAACAAAACTATCATAACCAGAATTTCATAATTCGAAACGGCTGTGAATGCCTGACCTCTCCACTGACTTTCGTCCAGCTCGCTTTCGTTGGGCCGGCTGCGCACGGTGATGTCTAGAGGACGTCTGCAACAAGGGCATGAACTGGCATACCACCTTAGAAGCTTTCGGGAATGGTGATCATATGTAACCATATGTGACCATGGTGCATGGCAAAAATCTTAGGAATAGGCACTGGGTTGGTTTAAGGCAAAAATGGCAAAATTCAGATGGATTTTACGAGTAATTCTGGGGGCGGTAAATTTTCCAATCCAGCGGGGTGAAATATTCGATCTATTGCCACAACAATATTCCAAGTGAGCCAAAAAGCTCTGAGCTCTTCACTTCCACTCGTGTCCTTCATCCTTTGGCCCATCCAAGTGCTCTTCAAACTCTGTTAGTGGTGAAGAAATGCGCATGTCCTGCAATGCCAACTGCAACGCAGCAAGGCCAGAAACGGCATTTGACAGATTTCCGCGCCTTACCGTACCACCAATCCTTGTAGTATCGAAGGTCTTCCTGTCATGGTCCAAGTTTGGTCCAAGTTTAAAATCAACACCAGACACCGTCCACCCAAGGAACCTGCAATCTTTTACATTCTGCTTCCCAATACCTGAACAAAAAGCTGTGTTTCGCAGTTCTATTTTTTTAATACCATACTGAAACTGGGTAAATTGTTGCCCTTGATGCTGATGAAAAATGCTGGGGCCCTGACTTGTTTTCTGCTGCCAGTCTTTCAGTTTCCTGTGAGGCAATGTGTTGTTTGGTCCCAACAGTTTCCAAATTTCAAGCAATGTGAACAATGCATTGTTTTCTGTTGAATTTAAGTTTGCAACTTTGTCTGTACATGTCAGTACATCAAGAAAAACCATAAGTCATCATGTGTTGTTTGTTTTCAAAAAGAAACCCCGCACCTGCTGGGCAAATTTAAGCTGTTCCTGAAGCTGCAAAAGATCCAGGTCAATTCCAAAAACTAATTTCAAATTTCAGTGACCTCCCAAATTTGCGCAGCGTTTTTTTTTGCACGCGTCTGTTGGCATCTTTGATGACCGACATCAGCAACATGCACATTTTGGCATGCGTTCATTGAGGAATATCATGGTGCAAACAGAATCGTTAAAAATTGTTGACATAAAATTGCTTACATTGACACGATATCACGTTGGTCCGCTAGCGTGACTGAGACAATCAGGTCAGCAAGTTGCTGTTGGACCAGGTTCAACTGTTCCCGGATTTTCAAATTTTGGCGAGTCAATGCAAAAACATCCATAGAACGTGCACCACCACGCAATGTCAAACACCGCTTTGTAAACTCATCCACGTCGATAACGTGATCTCCATCTACATCCAAACTTGCAAATAATGTCCAAGCATCAGCGGCAGTGATTTCGGCGGTCTCCAGAAATGCTTGCATCTGTTCGTTTTCGAACATCTTTTCAAATTCGGCTAAAGTCAATTGCCCATCTCCATCATCCAAACGATTGAAAATATCCGTCAGAAGAGTTCGAAACTCTTGCCGGCTGTCCATTGTGTTTTCATGGTCTTTTTGCGCTGATTTGATGGCACTTTCACAGAAAAATCCCGTCATTACGTTCCTGGAAGCTGACGGATTGGTTTTGTCACTGACCAAATTTTCAGTGTACAGGACTGGCCAAAAAAGGGAAACATGGAAAATCAAAACCGAATTGAAAAAAACAATAAAATTCAAAAAAACTAAATGATTTCTTCAAGTGATCCCCTCCAATTTGACATTGTATCCACGTTTTGTATCGTTTTGTCTAATACACATATACATATATATACCCTACAAATCCGATGGCCTCCATACTGAGGTCCTTTCACCAAGTTCCTTCATACAGTGGTCCTTTCGCCAAAGGCCTTCATAAATAGATTCATAAATGATATATGATGATGTTATGCATATCATACACCATCATAAAACATCAAATAAAGGTTATAATGTCTCCCACCTGAATCGCACAAACCGCCACAGAGCATGCACACATTTTGAGTTTTGGCCCAAAACCCAAAACACCTTTATGATCTGTCCCCCAAGTTAGCTCATTCGGTGGAAACAATTTCCTTGGGTTCCAAGGGTTTTCAAACCGGGGTCATGCTGGGAGGTGCCTGAGCGGAGAACTCACACCACGGGACAGGTGGCAAGGGTCTTACTGGCCCGTATTCTGAACTTGCTGAATCAAGTGGCCAAAGCATTCTCTTTAATTTCCCAGTATTTGTCGAAGATGTTTTCTCGGTTTGTGCAATACTAGTTGTGCTGACATGAAAGAAAAATTGTTTGCTCAACAAACTTAGGACACTATATAATTGCAGACTTCCCAACTCAATAGCCAGCTGAGTTGGCAAATTCGAGGGATTGCCCAATGGAAGAGCAAACTTGGTGCTGTCACAAAACATACAAACAGAAACCCAACAGAAATATAGAGGAAAACATATCGGAACTCAACATAATAATACATATAATAGAACCGAAACATGATTGCAAAACAACATAAAAACATAGAAGAAAACATAACAGAAAACAAATCAATATATCAAAGAAAACAGAAACATAGAAAAAAACATAACATAAAACATGTTTTATCAGAAACACATCATAAAACGGAAACATAACAGAAACATAGAACTAAAACAAAACATCATCCAATTTGAAGCGTTAATAAATGAATAGGCAAACATAAAACAAAACATAAAACATACAATAGAGAACAAACTGCGAAACATAACAGGGCCATAGCATAAAACCACACATAAAACATAAAATATAGAGGAAACTGCGAAACATAACAGAAACATACAGCAACATACAGGAACATAAATGTTTTTTTAATAGAGAGCTGTTGGGCGGCAGCGGAGAGTGGCATCGTCGGGAAAGTGTTGACTATAAAGGGTATTACATTATAAACAAATTAAGCCCTTGACTCTTTGAACGGCGAGCTCAGGCATTGCTCGCCGTCTCACTGGGCAAATAAGATTTGTGAAACCTTCATTTTGTGGCAACCTTATTCGCTCTGCCATAGCCCTTCTATGGTGTTTTCTCAGTGTCAAGCAAAAACGGCCTCAGCATCCTGCAGAAAGCCCATGATTCACATCGAAGGTCCTTTCCAGTCGCTTCAGGTCCTTTCAGGTCCTTTCAGGTCGCTTCAGAACCTCATCTCCAGCTCGAGCAATCAAACAAACAATCGCAACTGCAGCTTTTTTCGCCACTTTCAATGATGTCATCGTAGTGCCGAACCAGACGTTGTGTATCGAACATTGATCCATTGTAGTCAAAACTCGCTCCACCAACTTCTTTGGGGCCGTAGGGCAGTAGGTTCTTCCAATGTGTATCGCTCAGCGATCTTGTCCGTGAAATGCTTGCCAAGTTGTTCGGTCTTTGGATCATAGAACATTGGCTTCTCCAGCTTCGTGCTAGTGCAAATCAACAAATCGCTACACTCATCTTTGGCGCCTGGTGGAAATGGAGCAAATGTCACTTGAGGCATACCAGGTCATCTGAACAATTCGCTCTGAACTTGCAGGAAACAACGGATGATCTTCCAACCATGGCGACCGAGCAACGGACGAGGGTCCATCTGATGGCGTTGAACTTAAAACTCTTGTGTCAATGAAAATGTTCATGAGGTAAAACTTTGTCATGCAGCTTTCACTGAATGTTATGCCATGACATGTAGAAAGTCTCACCATCATCACGCTGTCTTTACAGGCTATAAATAGCTTTTAAAGTTTATCAAATACTAGAAAATCCGCAGTGTGCTTTCTTCCCTTCAGAAGCGTATAGTACCATAAGAATACCATATATATCTTTGATAAATGTGTGAATTTCTCACAGAACTTCGCATCTTTTTCCCCGTCCCAGGTTTCTTGTTTGAGCATTTCCCGTCAAAACTTCACGCAACTCCGAGCAGCGATTAAGATTTTATATTTAAATTTAAATGAAAGTCTATTTTTGCAGGAACGGCATGTCTTTCTTTAAAATCTAGAGACGCTCACCTGGCAGGTGGTCTGACCTTCTACCTTGTGCATTCCTTTGTAGCATTGAGACATGGCCCCTTGTAGTCCTGTCCACCTGTCCCTGGGATTTAACAAAAGCCAGCTTGGAAGCCATTTTGTTTCGAATATCCTTGTCAGTTACCAGTCGGCCATTTCAAAATAGACAATGTCAATCACTTAGGTCAGTGACGGTCAGTGACTGATTAATCTCAAAAAGACTGTGTGAACGATATCCTCAAGTCTGCCAGCCAAACATGTAAAGGAAAGAAACCACTTAAAAGAAATAGAACAAACTGACAAATAAAAAGTTGAAAGAAAAATATCAAGATTGTTAGACGGTAAAATACTAAGAAGTGACCAGGTTCAGTACAGCGAAGGTGCAAAAGCCCTTAGTTGTGCGCAAGACGGTCTGAAAGGCACATCTGAACTTCAAAACGGTTATTCCCAACAGCAGTGATTGTTGGGTTTCAATCTCTGGGTCTGGGAGTGGCACGTCGAAAATTTTTCCGAGCCCCAAAACTGCCACAGAACCGCTGGCCGCGGTTAATCCCTGGAAACACCACTCAGGTTGGAAAATCTAGTTCACCGGTTCATCATACTGTTGTAGTTCATCCTAGTTCATCCCCAAAGGAAACCGAAGGCTCTTGGGAAATCTTGGGAATTCGGAATACTTGGCAGACTTGGCTCTTTGAACTTAGCAACATCAACAAACTTTGAACATTTTCGAACCGAGATGCGACGAAGAGCTCGAAGAGCAGCACCCAAAACTCTCCCAGTGGACGAAGCGCATCTGCGGCATCGCCCCAATCGAATCCTCCAGAGATGGATCTGAACAACGTCTGTACTGATGAGCCCAGATGTCCGAAGAACCTGGCGGCTAAATGATCCAAGATGATCCAAGATGATCCAAGATCCAAGATCCAAGATGAGAATCTAGGAGTTGTTGGCATGAGGTCAAATGATTCAAAATGATTCAAATGTTGACAAGTATTTAAGTAGTCATCACTTTCTGCAAGACTATCCTTGGAACAGTTTTGAAAACTGTTCAAGCACAAAACCCGCCAACCTCTTGTTTCTTGCGTGTCACTTAAAGCCGATGGGAAACAGCTTCCAAGAGATCAATGTGTCCCACTTCTCCATGTTCCGATCAGGGTTTTGCTTGGTGTGTTCCAGAACCACGTCGGTGAACAAGACTCCTGCCAGGTCACAGAAAATGAAAAAACAAAAAATCCTGAAGAATCAGCATCAAGTCAACACCCTCTACAAGAAAAGATTGATCAGGTCACCATTCTCCCACACCTGCAATGTACATGATCAGGAGTAGCAGCAACATGGCCCAGAAGAGCGGTTTCAAAGTATCCAGCAGCGAGCTCACCAAGGTGCGCAGGGCCCCCACGAAGCGCACGATCCACAAAGTCTTCACGATGCGAAGCAGTCGGGACACCCGCAGCAGTCGCAAGACGCGGATGCTGGAGCTGACCCCGGTGTCACTGCTGGAACCCAGGGCCTCCAAAATGATGTTGACCCATGAGAAGCTCACAACCACCACCTCACCAATGGGGCATGCCACGGCAACAAAAAGTCAGACTAGATTTACATATGAATTAGTTCAAGCCAATGAAGGCCACAACAAAATACCCCAAAAAATGAAAAGAATCAAAAAGGAGCCAAAGAATGCCGACTTATAAAGACTTGAAACATCTTGAAACATCTTGAAGATGTTTTCAGAGCCAGCTCGGCATCAAAATCACAAAAAATAGATGAAATTCCAAGACACGTCCAACACATTCCAAGACCAGCCAGGCGCAAAGAAATATGCCCGAGGCCCTAGGGCCAAGAGACGCAAAAAAAGCTCAACGGCGAAGAGAACGGCGTAGGCCAAATGGATTACCACCAGATTCACCTCTCTTGCAACGGTGAGTTGAATTCCAAGAAAGGCGGCATTGGAGAAAATGAGCAAAGCCCAAAACAGGTCGAAGTATGGCGAGTTGGCAAGTCCGGAAATTCTATTGATGCACGATTCCGAGCCTGACTGCATCAACGTACCAAGTGACTGACTATTGCGGTTGTATTGGACTCGAGATCCGTGCGCCCATGCATAAGCGTAGCTGCTTTGTCTCTGCACCATGGCTTTGAATTCATCTTTGGAAGGTTCCCGCGACTCCCGCGACATCGACAGCATCACTGACACCTCCGGAGCCTCCATGGCCTCCATGGCCTCGGCCTCCATGGTCTCCCCTTGCTTCGCCTCGTGGCAAGCCTCCACCTCGACCACGGCGTCGGCGTTGCAGCCGGCGATGGCCTCGGTGTTCAGCTGCTTCAGCTCCTGACAGATTCGATTTTCCACATCCTTCACTTCGAACTCCACGCGCTGGTGAAGCTTCGCTCTCAGGTCTGCCAGGATGGTGGGAATCATTTCATCCATCATTCGGCCGAAAAGCGAAAAGCCTTTGAAAAAGCAAGAATCATCGTCGATTCAGTGAAACTTGTTGTGTAAAGCGGTGCATGATGGTGCATGTCTGAATTTTTTCAACTGGTTTCGTGATGAAGCATGGTCACATATGGTCACCACATGTCACCATGGGTTTGCACTTCGAGCCAAGACTTTGGTGGCAAAACCGGAAAACAGATGAAAACAGCAAAGAAGTGGCCAAGCCTCGCTGGCTCGAACTGCGAACTGCTGCGAAGCTGTTAGCGTCGTGAGTGTTTCGTTTCGAGTTTCGGAGTTTCGTTTCGTTGGGGTCGCCTCCAAGTCGCAATGTTTCCTGCCAGGTTGCAAGATCCAGCTCGACTTCAGATATCTTCAGATACAAAATGGATCAAAGCGGTCATCAAAGTCATCAAAGTCATCAAAATTCAACTTATTCAACTTATTCAACTTATTCAACTTACATTTCAACTCACGTGAAGTTACTGTTTTCACGAAAAACCGACTGGCTGCCTCCTCGACATGGGTTGGAGGAAGTCGCGCAGCCATCCCTGGAACTGTCGGCAATGTCGGCACCATTCCAACCATTCCAAAGGCGCTCTCCATGAAACAAAATGGTGGTGAAAGTGAAACCAGTGAAACATAGTGAAACTTGAACGTTGTAAGATGTTGTAAGATGTTGTTTCTGTCAAGTGTCCAAATCTGAAAAACACCACAGAATCTCAGATGTCTGCGTATCCACAGGCAGAGGCGCGAACCACAGGGCTGATGCTACCAAAGGGCCAAGGAATGCCCTGACGGCACCATAGGAAAACCCCTGAGTTTCACTAAACAGCAACGTTGCAACGTTGCAACGTTGCAACAGCTGCACCTCCATGGCTGGTGAAGCTGGTGGCCAAAATGGAAATGTTGTGCCCCAAATTTCTGATCTCGATCTCCGTGTGTTTTGTTGTGGCGTTGCGTTGCGATAGCGATTTGCGTTCTGATTGTGGACGCCCGGCCGTGTTGAGTAAGCTGAAAAAATAGAACTGCGGCAGGAATCTCACAAGTCAAAAATCGTCAAAATCTCCAAATACTAAGAGGAACGACATGGAAAGACTCTAATTCCAGGATCCTAAGAACCAAAGTCTCGTTTCGCAGCCAAAATCACCTTTCTCATCTTGACAGCCGACAAGTTCAGGACGCAGAGCCAGTAATTCAGCTCCAACTTGGGCCACCAGGACTTGGAGAGATATGGAGAGATGCTCCGAAGCGGCTGAAACGAAGGCGCTGTTCACCATTTGGAGCTTCCAAATTTCTCTCATTTCTGATCTCAGATTTCTCACATTTCTCACATTTCTAATCACATCTCTCCGAAAATTTTGAAGCAAAGAACTTCGCAAAGCAAGTAGCAAAGCCTTAAAGAGTTCACACCGAGGCTGCATCGGCACTGCATACGCACTGCATTGCTAAATCTCATGAGCCGACATGTCGATGTCTCAGAAATGGCGAAAGACAGCAGGTAGCAACATGCAAAGCCATAGCACAACGACCAAAATCAAGACCTCAGTGTTAAGTTCAACATAGTTCAACAAAGCAACATCTAGGTGTCACAAAATGCAGCAGTCAGTACAATCCGCATATGCTGGTCTGTGGAATTTGGTGAAAGACAATCAAACTCTTTGACACAGGACGCAGTAAATTCTCAAAGAGCAGATCAGTAAATTCTCAACGATATCAGTGCAGTTGCTTGAAGATCTTACAAGTTTGGTTTGTGTATATAATGTGTGCTCCTCTTCCCCTGTCCCTATCCTCTTGAACACTTTGCAAAACAACATCTCTGAGGCAGCAGCGCAAGAACAGCCATAGAAGCATGTCAGAAAGGGATCCTGGAAGCACATGTTTCGCACGTGATCCAGTGCTGACGTTTCAGTCTCGCCAGTTTCTTACCATCCACACCAGTCGCGAAACTGGAATCGCATCTTCGGCAACAGTCCTCATACCACTTGAGTCGTTGTAGTCTCTCCCTCTCCTGACAGTTCTACACACCAAGAACAGCAATGAACAGTATGATTTCCGAATGCCTTGGTTGCCTGTGTTCTGTACAAAACAGCTCAGCAAAAAACAACTGCAACTCGCCCCCAAAGTCAGGAAACCTCCAACCGCCATCAAAACTCAAAAAACACCTCCGCAGTTTTTCCATGTTTTTCCCAGTTCAGCCGTTTCCATCCCATCCGGTCCATGGTCTCCCATGGTCTCCCATCCTCCTCCTCGCTTTCGAAAACATGGCGGAAGCAGATCTTCCCCAGCTCCTGTGCTGCCTCCGGTGACAACGAAACCCGGCAGCCCATGACCTTCCGCATCCGCGTCCCAGCGTCAAAGACCTTGCAGCAAAGTGCCCAACTGCCCAAATCGCAAAAAAAAACTGCAGGGACCCCAAAAAAAAACACAGTAAATTTCAGTAAATGTACAAGATCAAATCAGAAACTGCGGAAACTCAACTGTTGACATCAACAAATTACATCAATCGACTGAGAAAAATGATGAGTCTGTCAGTCGAGCAGCTTTGTGGACTTTCAATTTCACCTCCGGCGCGGGTTTTTGCAAATAACTCCGCCACTTCTCCTCAACGGCAACACACACATCAGCCATTAGGGAGAGAGGCAACGACAGCAATTCCTTCATCGCAAACGTCAAATGCTAAGGGCAAAAAGGAAAAGGAAGGATATTGAAAATTGCAAAAAAAACACATCAAAATCCATCAAATTATCAGACATCCGAATACATCAAAGTATCATCAAAATACTCTTGGGGATTCTGTCGCTTCTGAGCCCTGCCTCAGCAGCATCTCCCTCTTCTGCTGAATTGCTTTTGCGTCTCCGTAGAGAAGACTCTTGGCCTGTGATCAGATCATCCCGGTTTTTTTGCCCAGAAAATTCACTGCGCAGGGACCACGATGGCTTGCCTTAAAATTGCCAAATTTCCAACCGAGACCACTGAGACCACGACGCCGTTTCAGTTGCGATCGGAACTCGGCCCTCGCTTCTGCCTCTGGTCACACGGAGGCTGAAACTTGATGCTGAAGAACTCTCAACATGGGTAGAGATACTTAAGGTATCTAGTATCTTAAAGTAGCTAGGTTGCATAGGTCACAGGTGTCACTCACTTAAAACAGAACTTCAAGAAATCACCATGGAAATCACCATAGAAATCACCATAGAAACCCCAAATGGGTCCTGTGAACTGGACCACTGGACCCGGTCCTGGAGACGCTCTTCCACAGCCGTTCTCAGGGCATCTCCCAGGCGCTGCTCATCACAGTCACTCGGGGCACCGGCAAAAAGGAACCTCGGACGCACCCAGGGAGCTGCCATGGGTCAAATGAAACTTGGGACCTAAAAAAGAAGTGGTTACGGTTGGTATCATTGATGTTATATTTATATGTACATATAATATGTATATATGTAAATATGTATATATATATATGTATATGTATATATTGTATATAATTAATATGATCCATATTTTGTGAATGATTCCAAGATTTCCGTTTTCTGATCCAACAGATTTTGATTCTGGAAATGTCCAGCAAAACACAACTGGCTCTACGCCCGAAGGTCAGGCGGTGTGTCTGCCGAGCAGCTCAAGCGGAACGGCATCTTCGGGGCCCTGGCGTTCAAAGGGTTTCCACCAAGAAAAAAATGTTCTCTGTGTATATATCTATATAATACATATATAATACATGTAACACCATGACTGTATATGTATACTACATATTGTGTAAACATGGAATCGCCATATTCCAAGTGTACATTTGGACATGTGGAATGTATCAGTCTCAAGGCATCTGGTATGACATCATGTGAAATGCGCAGTAAATGCATGGTAAATGCTACTGAAGATGCCATATCAACTCTAGAATCATCCCATTTTTCCATGTTTTTCAGAATGTGTCCAGTTTGTTCTTGGTAATATAAAACACAACGACACGTAGACGACAGACGACGACACCTCGCTCCAAATCGAAATGTCGGCAGGCTCCAAGGTGGCACCATCCAGTCGCACAGCCAGGCTATGCCTGCCGCGAGGTTTGCTGAGTTCAGGATGTGTTTTCTCGGAAAATATGGAGAAAAACTTGAGAAAAACTGAAAACAACATTGAAAAAAATGAAAACCTGTTAGAAACTGAAATCTTCACACAATTATCAGACCAAACATACATAAACACCATTCTAGAATTGCAAGATCTGAAATATCGATCTGGCGAAAATCCTGTGGCAATCCCCGATGCCAAATACCCCTTGACGACTGCCTGGCCGCATCACACATAGGATAGCCGCGAGCCTTTTTTTGGCGCTGCGAAATACCCTGAAATCATCTGAAATCCCCTTGACAAGACATTTTTTCTTACATCCTAACAGAATCTAACAGAATCTAACAGAATCTAACAGAATCTAACAGAATCTAACAGATACAGCCCAGTACTCCAGCCAGTACTCCAGTACCCCTAAAAAAAACCTCTGAGACCCGGGTCCTTCTGCCATCGGATCCTGACCACATCCACAGAATCCACAGAATCTACGAAATCCATGGCGGAGCTGGGCAGGAAACAAGGCAGGACGCCCAACCGGGCTGCGAAAGGTTTTTTGAATCATCAGCTGGGGAAAGCCATGAAAATCATGAAAAATAAGGATGTACTGTGATGTACTGATGGTCAAAATTTGATGTGTTTGAAGGCAAAAATCTTTGAAGCTGTCAAATCTAGTCAAAACAGAAGTTAAAATGAGGTTTCATAGACAGTCTTCTGCGCTTCGGCTCGAGATGGTCGAACCCAAAGTGTATGTGCAATGTGAGAGCTATGCCGCTGTTCTTGCTTTCGCAGCATCTCTACCTGATCATACAGCTGCTTTGCGGAATGAAATATCATTTTGTTTTTGTGTCAAAGGATTCTCCATGCATCTGTCGAACCTGTTCCAACTTGCATCTTTGTCCTTCCTGGTTCTAAACAGCTCACTGGATCTGTGCATGTCGTCCACATGTCGTCCACATGTCGTCCACATGTCCTTGGTCGCAATTTTCAAACTCGGCAAGGCCACGCGGCTGAGGTGAGGTTGCAAAGTCCCACTTTCATGGAGACAGCTACGCCGCTACGCCGCTACGCCAGGCCTTTCCTAGCGCCGTTTTCTTGCATGACACATCAGCCCTGCCGGAGATCGGGATGCAATGGAGATTTCAGGCGATGCCATGATTTCAATCATGAGACGCTTCCGGATTCATCCGGATTCCAGCTGCTTGGTGGCTGATTTCCATTGGTTGGGTTCCATTGGTTTGACTTGTCGGTCGGACGAGGCGTGTGGCATATCACTACGTTCACGAAATAAAATCTGACTATGACGAATGGCAGGTGACCAATTCACGAATTGTCAGTGTTTCGAATGACCAATGTGACCAATATTGACCAATTCACTCCACAGATTCCAAAGTTCAGGATCCATTGCACCCTGCAGCATGTGCCTTTGGCATACGCACAAATGTCCCGGAAGATTGTCTTCAAGAACGAAGGACTGAGTGAATTTCTAGTCCGATGATCACCGATTCTACCACTGATCATGGTGTCTGCACTCCGAAGGAAGCAAGATCACAGACATCTCCATCTCCATCCGAAGCTTGTCACAACTTTTCAAAAACGATCCATCGAACGATAAATCGAACGATAAAACGATCAAACGAACGATCAATTGCCGTGTTTCCCATGTTTCGGAGTGTGAAACAGGCAGAACCATCAGATCCAGCAGCAGCCAAAGTACTGAGCTTGGGTGCGGTACCAAACGTGGCTGAAACCTGTGCACCGGGCTAAAAACACGTCACAAATGGGAAGCATCATTGGAACCATTGGAAACATTTTTTTTGTTTAATAAAACATAAATAAACCATAATAAAACACTGGGGAGATGATGTAAGAAGGTCAACATTGTTGAGTCAACATTCCAATCTCCAAGAGACGCGAATCCTTCTCATGCTCGATGCCAACTGTTGTGGAGAGAGTCTGGCCACTGGTATAGTCTGGTCCCGCATATGCCCGCTCCGTGATGGTGACGCTCCTGAGAAATTCCAAGCAGAGCAGTGCTACGGAAACTGTGGCAGTGGATTTTGGCTGCCATATGGTGCCATAAATGCGAAGACTGGATAGCCAAAGCAACCAAGTTTCTTCACAAAAGTTTTTGGTCTGCCAGAACAGGAGAAGCAACCATCTTTTCGCATTTTGCTCTCCTGCAGCTATGCAGCCACATCGCAAAGAACATAGTGTCTGCATCATTTTTCTCAAACTGGGCTGTACTGTAGCACTCAGTACAATGTCCAACGATGCACAAGTCGTCGCCGTCGTCGTCGTCGTCGTCCTCCTCCTCCTCCTCCTCCTCATCATCATCATCATCATCATCTCTATTGTTATTCTCATTATTATCATTGTTGGCATTTAAATTGTGTTAATTGTTCACGATCAGCACATCAACATTGTGTTCCTCATCGTGGACATCAGCATCACCTTTCTTTGCAGTAACACTTCAGTAGCATCATCAGTACCACCATGACATTCCAATCACTAATCACCTCATGCAAAGTCATCATGTGGTCACTTGATTTGGTTTCCTTGCCATTTTCATTTCCATTCACATTTTTGTTTGTTTTGTTTGTTGTCTTCTTACTGATCATGGTGGTCCCTATCATCATGGAACTATGGTTTGATGATGAGATTGAAAATCTGCCATTTCAACGGCATTTCCCGAGACCTTGAAGGAAGACCCCACTGTGTGGCCAATTTCCTTCGCTTCTTCCTCGGACAGTTCATACAACAAACGGCGCATAGGAACTCACGAACACACCCTGCACAAGTCTTGCAGTTTGAAATCGTGGCCACATGACGGGAGTCTCTTTGCAGCAACAAATATGTAAATCCCAACCATTTGAAGCCTACGTAAGCCTTTACAGCCTGAACGCCCTAACCAATGGTGCAAAAGTGATTGCCTCCAAGCTGCTGAAAGCCCAGAACCGGTCGGCTGAGTGTTACCCATCTTCGACACTTGCCACGTGTTTTTTTTTGTTGAAGTCCAAATGGCTGCAAACAATACAAAGTAAGGTATGTTTTTAGTTTTGTTCGTGTCTTGAAGTGTTTGGACATATGATCACACTGATCACACACCTAAATTCTAAAGGATACCCAAACGGGTGGAGACGTGCAACGTGACAAAACGCACATTTTGATGCATCTGTTTGACATCAGTGCCACAATCTCTTGATATGCAACATTTTCTGGGTTACATAGTTTTCAATGCTTGCATGTTTTGCCAAAACGAGATTTTCCAGAGACCACTCAGAGACCACTGAAAAGCAACAAAATGATTGATTCCGTGGAAAACATTAAAAATGTGTGACCCCATGTCTGGTGTCCAGTTTCTCCTCCAACCTTGTCTTTGGGTCCTGCCGTGTTGTTTCAATCGTTTTTGGGTGTTCCCGATTATTTTTGCCAATGCAGATTAAAATTGCCAAAACCAAACCAGTGAAAAAATAAAAATAGAAAATTGGTAAAAATTGGTTCAGGCAGTGCCGTTCGCCCAGACCCCAACTTGACCCGCAGGTATATAAGATGTTGAAGATCTTCGGGATCAAATTTCCCACCACCCTTACAATATGTTACAACTACGCATATAAACCTGGACGTGTCATGCCATTATTCTATATATATATATTGTTGAAAACGAGGCGAAATTCCATAAAAAGGGACAAAAAAAATGGAAAACGTGTTGTCATGGACCCTTACACGGCTTTGAAATCGGAAAGCCCTCTTCGATGTAGTGCTGTGGCAAGTCAAAACATATGGGAAAGTCATTTTGTGCATACCATGGTTTTCGGCCTTCAAAATATGATCCAACTCATTCTGGGCAATACATCCTGGCCGTAGTCATGCAGTAAAAACAACAATTTCGCAAACTCCAAACATGGTTTGCACATATTTTGCTGGAAATTTTGGCAAATATTGAAATTTGAATCCAAAGCATCCTTGCGGAATCCCACAGTTTTCAATTTGCGCGCGATACTTGTGGGCCCACCCACTCCTCCCTTTGGACCAAACTGCTACTGCATTCCAAGCTAAATTTGCCACACACGCACACAAAGACCACTCGCCCGATTTTCGCATGCAGCACACTTCGGCTCATTGTCGGTGAGGTTTCATCGTGGTGTTTTGCGAAAACATGGTCTGGTGCACGCGCTCTTTTCAACGTGGGACAACACATCTGACCTTCTTCCCCGCTTCCACTCAAGTTGCATCGCGCCGTTCCAATTCCATGCGGATTCTTGTCAACACATTGTCACACATGTGTCACATTTGTTGTAACTTTGCAAACTTTGTTCAAAAAGGACGAGCCACAATTCCTGAAACACAATCGGCAATATTAGCCTGTGTAGGAACACGAGCAAACCGCACAGTACTGCTGTCTGTGAATTCGCTTCGCGGTGAATTTTCATGATCGTTTCAGAAACGGTCGCAAAGCCAAGACCACGCATGAGTGCAAAACGCACGCCATCATTGTTCCCCAAGTCTTTGTGTGGGGTTCTTGTTTTTTGTTGTGCGCCCCCGTCCGTCACCTTGCCTCGCCTTCCGTTGCGACTCTCTCAGACACAACTCTCCTACACAACTCCCTCACACACAACTCTCTCACACACAACTTAGTCACACACACAACTCTCTCACACACAACTTAGTCACACACACAACTCTCTCGCACACAACTCTCTTACACAATTCCCTCACACACAACTCTCTCACACACAATTTGCTCACACACAACCCTCTCACTCTCTCACACACAACTCCGCCACACACAACCCAACTACACACAACTTACTCACACGCAACTCTTTCACACAAAATCCCCTCACACACAACTCTCTCACACACAACACACACACACACACTTGCTCAGAAATATCTTATCGAATTACTGATGTGGAATGCATCGTACGTGCAAAAAACACCTCAGTAAACCTGACAGGAATGGTTGAATAATTAGAAGTGGGAAACTGTGCGAAGGAAAATTTTCTACGTCCTTGCTCGAAGGATTTACTTGTTCTGATGCAGCTCAGTCAGATTGCTAAAACCGTACAGTTGTTTGGTTTGAAAACATTTGGAAAAGCGACATGCCGGTTCTGAAATTGGGCCGGTGGCCATTGACGACAAACTGAAAATTGGAAAATTGCAGGTACGTCGGGATGATCAGTCCCGATAGCACAATCTCAAACCACCGTCTTCGTTGGGCAGTGGATGGAATGAGATTCACTGCCCCCCTTCTAAGTAAGAAGTTTTACATTTTTTCAGGTGGTTCACACACACACCCTCCCGCAGGAGGGTGGGAAATTAAGGTCCCGACAATGAGATGAAAATGAAGAGGAAGGGAAATGAAGATGAGGTGAAGATGACAATGATATGAAAGTACTTAACCAGGACGCAAAGAGGGGAACGCAAAAGAAGAGGAAAAGAGCAAACACCAACACATGAAACCTAGCCCGAAACGGGCAACCCTGGAAAGGCAAGGGAAAAGAAAAGCGGAGGCCGACGGAAAACGGAACAAGACCAGCGGAGGAGGGGGAAGACAGAAGCGCCTGAACCAACCTGACACGGCGAAAACCTACATCAACCTAAGCACGCAACGGGTCAAACCTACCTGGAGAAAGGAGAACGCAAGAACACATGAAAAAGGGACCCATGGGGAACTAGTTAATGACATGATGCATCCACATTAGCGTGCAAGTTTCCCCTCGTTGGGCTCAAAGGCCTGAGTTCAAGTCAACCCCATAGACGGCTGTCAGTATTCAAATGAATTACGAGCACAGTTGAACCTCACCAGAGTAACCAAAACGAAGTGACCACACCTGTAAAGCATGTCCTGTAACCTGGATATTCATGCATTCCAACTATGCAGAACAGGAGAAATCTCAAAGCCGGTGATGCCAGTCACAGCGGCACGTTGTTCAACACGAATCGACATCGACAAGTGTGACCAGGAAAAAGGCCGGCAGTTCACTTTACTTAGACGAATTACCAATTCAAAAGTGTAAATTCAGACATCGTTTTACCGTCAATTGTTAGCCTAGAAAGGCTTTCCCCGAAGGGTTCATACAATCTTGACGAAAATCGGCATGAAGGACACACTTGCTCAGAAATATCTTATCGAATTAATGATGTGGAATGCATCGTACGTGCAAAAAACACCTCAGTAAACCTGACAGGAATGGTTGAATAATTAGAAGTGAGAAACTGTGCGAAGGAAAACTTTCTACGTCCTTGCTCGAAGGATTTACTTGTTCTGATGCAGCTCAGTCAAATTGCGAAAACCGTACAGTTTTTTGGTTTGAAAACATTTGGAAAAGCGACATGCCGGTTCTGAAATTGGGCCGGTGGCCATTGACGACAAACTGAAAATTGGAAAATTGCAGGTACGACGGGATGATCAGTCCCGATATCACAATCTCAAACCACCGTCTTCGTTGGGCAGTGGATGGAATGAGATTCACCGCCGCCCTGCTAAGTAAGAAGTTTACATCTTTTCAGATGGTTCACACACACACACCTCCCTCACACACAACTCTCTCACACACAACTCTCTCTCACACAACTCTCTCACTCTCTCACACACAACTCCCCCACACACAACTTACTCACACACAACTGCCTCACACACAACTCCCCCACACACAACTTACTCACACACAACTGCCTCACACACAACTCTCTCACACACTTGTTCAGAACTGTCGTTGCGAATTTGGTTGTGGAGTGCATCTTACGTGCAAAAACACCAACACTAAAATGACAAGATGAATATACATATAAACAAATATATTTACATATAGACGTATAATCACAGTAAACGTTGACCATGTAAAACAACAGCAATAAAATAGAATATATGTCCCCCCCAGCTGCGACTTATATGCGCCCAGGGGCGGGACTATATATCTATATGTATATATTTATCTATATATCTATATCTATATATATATAATATTTTTATAAAGCAGCTACGTTTTCACAGGTACCCAGGGGGCGTCTTCGTTGGCCACCAACCCCATGGGACCCCAGTGGCCCCCTGCAAGATAAAGAAATTTTACATCTCTACAGGTGGTAGACACACACACCCCGCAGCAGCGGGGCAGATGACGAAAAGGAAATGAAGATGAGATGACAATGAAAATGAGATGACAGCTAATTAAGCGGGACACGAGACGGGGAACGCAAAGAAGAAAGGAAAAAAGGAGAAAACACTAACACCAACACACTTACAGAGCGGGCAAACCCTGAAAGGGCAAGGGAAAAGAAAAAGCGGCCGGACGACGGGCCAAGCACCAACCAGAGGAGAGGGGGGCGGACGGAAGCACCTGACACAACCTACAAGGCGAGAGCCAAACCTACCTCGGCACGTGAAGGAACCAAACCTGACCTAACACGGGAGCACGCATGAGATAGGGGACCAACGGGGAACTAGTGAATGACAATAGATGCAACCACAAAACAGTGCAAAAGTCGTGGTAAAGCTCAAGGCCCTCGGTACAACCCCATAGACGGCTGACGCGTTCAACCCTTGAATTGGTGCACACTTGAACTTCACCAGATCAACAAAAGAAAGTGACCACACCTGGAAAGCATGTCCTTTGCCTTTCATCACATGAAATATGACAGTAATGACAACGTTCTGTCTCTCGAGCATCACTGGAAAAAGTAAGTTATCGCGGCTGACATCTACCAACCCTTGGAGTTCAAGAAAGTGGTGAGTCCCCAGCACAGCGGGCAGTAGTTCAACACGTCGACAAACGACAGGGTGAAAACCGAAAAAAGGCCAACTGCTTCACTTTACTTAAACAAATTACCAGGTTGAAAATTGTAAATTCAGAGATCAGGTCGGAGGATCAAAGTTCCTACCTAGGAAGGTATTCCCCCAAGGGTTCATCCCACCCTTGACGAATCCAGCATGAGTCACACTTGCTCGGAATCATCGTTGCGAATTTGGTTGTGGAGTGCATCTTACTTGCAAAAAACAATAAAATGACAAGAT